GATAATATAGATGATTCTCTTACGTATTTACAATAGTAGAAAATGGACACTGCAGGTAGTAGGTACTCTAATAGCAGGGTTTGTGTATTTGGGAACAGCGTGGTGGTTAATGGAAACGATTCCAGACATATGCGACAAGACGTTGTCCAACACGGTGTGGACTTGTCCTTCGGATCATGTGTTTTATGATGCATCAGTGATTTGGGGTTTGATTGCACCAAGAAGGATTTTCGGAGACTTGGGAACTTATGGGATGGTGAATTGGTTCTTCTTATTTGGCGCGATAGCACCGGTACTTGTGTGGTTAGCAGCGAGGGCATTTCCTAAGCAAGAATGGATCAAACTGATTAACATGCCAGTGCTAATAGGAGCAACAGGGATGATGCCACCAGCCACTGCTGTGAACTACACAACCTGGATCATCGTTGGGTTCTTGTCTGGCTTTGTTGTTTATCGATATAGACCAGATTGGTGGCAACGACATAACTACGTTCTTTCGGGTGCACTTGATGCTGGTTTGGCATTTATGGCAGTTCTTATATATCTGTGTTTGGGCTTGGAGAACATAACTATTAACTGGTGGGGAAATGATCTTGATGGATGTCCTTATGCTGCTTGTCCAACAGCTAGAGGCATTGTTATAGAGGGTTGCCCTGTTGTTTATTGAATTGTGAATATCAACCATAAATTTGCATTTGTGTAAATCCCATTTTCTTTAAAACAGTACATCATTGGTTGTTGAGTCAACTTCAGTTGGAGAATTTTATCGAGAATTCGTCAAAGTAGCTGCAGCTAAAGCTATAGAGTTCATAAAACCCATAACATACTTGTATCCCACTAAACCAAATTAAAGCGCAGCCACTTCCTCCAACTCAACAATATGGGGAACAGGAAGAAACAAGATAAGTAAATGTTGGTGCATCATCAATGTGATAAATGCAGTTAGGCTAGGCTGCTACTCACAAGAATCAAATAACAGCCAATCTTGGCTTCCGCGAATATTGTTTGGAATCTATGTGAAACTAACTTAAGAACTGCAAAAGATAAGCTGGCCAACAGTTTCCTTTCCAAACTCTTGTGGTTGGTCATTGACAGCCTTTTAGACGTCTAACCTGCAAAAGAAGTTCAAAGCAGAGGACGGGAAAGAAAAATCATTGAAAAATAATACAACATGACCACACTCTTCCAATCTGGGAAAAGTATAGTCAACAATCTATCCAAGCTCCTTGTAGATTCAACTATCAGAAATACATTTGGTACATATTCCAATGGATTCCAGTTTTTTTATATTCTATTGTCGAGTAGGAACAATTCTAGTTCAAATATCAAAGTTAACAAAAGCTTGCACTTGAATCTACACACACTCTCTCGTTTTTACATGTAGCTATTAGCACCAAACTAGTTCAGAAGCAATATAGTTTAAAGATATCCTTCCCATGTGCGTGTATTTGAAATAACAAACAAAAATTGAAAAGAAACTACTCTTACAAGTTATTTCTAACTCAATTGTTTTGATACAAACTTCCTTTGCTGCATTCTGTGTCTCTTCCATTGAAAATGGACAAACTAGACTTCCAATGTAGAATTGCACACAACAGTTAGTAACATCTGAATATACAACTGAGTCATCTTTTGAATTGTATATCATGGAAGTTGCTCCAAACATTGACACTACTTGGCCTTCATTTGACATGAAAAAGGTTGGATACCAATCAGGATGATTTGGTGGTTGTTAGATTCTTTTAACGCCATACTCCTTCATAACCCAAATGAGTTGGCTATCATTGCTGATTCAACCACGACATTAATTAAATTATTTATAACGAGATAAGACTCAATTATGTCATCAAACTTTGAAAAAAAAAACTTATCTATGTCATTTGTTAAAAATTTGACACTTATATATATCATTTCAGTTAATAAATAATGACATAATATTATCAAATAAAAATAACATAAATGAGCTAAATTTTTAATAGATTTACATAAATAAACCTTTCTCAAAGGTAGGGAGATATTTGAGTTTTTTCCTATCTTATTTATACATCAATTATGAAGGGATAGCATAGGAATAGAGTAAATATTGAATTTTCTTCAAAAAAAAAAAAATTATATCTTGTACACATTCCAATAAATTAAAAAGATAATTGTATCAATTTTCATTTTTGAAGAATCAAGAGGATAAGAAGAAAAGCTGAGTATGAAGAGCACATCAATTTCCTCATTACTTCCATATCCAAAAATCCTCTTCAGCAGAAGAGCATTTCCCCCAATTAATTTCTCAAGCACAGCTCCATTTTCAGGGCAGGCAAAATTTCTAAGCATAAATTGCAGTAATAGCTCGGAAAATGGTGAAATGGGGAATTTGAAGGATGCATTGACTGGTATAGTGGACGAAAGAGTAGAGGAACTTTTGAAGAGAGAAGAAAATAGGGTTTTACTTGATGGGTTGGAGAAAGCAACGCTGAGAGTAGAAATGGCAAAGAAAGAACTTGCTGAAATTGAAAGACAAGAATTGGAGGCTAAATTGCTAAAGGATTATATCACCCAGCTTGAAACTAGAACTTCTGAGGTATGTTTTATATATTTGAAGGATTAAGCTGAATTGTTGGTTTAATATATAATTTATGTACACATGTTACGAAAAGTAAACAGACATTTGCGATCAGGTGTCAGGTATAAATCTCAACAGACACAAAAATACTAGTATGTGATTTCTTTACTTCTGTCTTAGCTGTGATGGATAAAGTTATATGGTAACTGTGGTTGATTGGATAGAGTTATTTGGTACGCGTTGTTGGTGGGAGATAGGTATGGCGTAGAATTAGTTTAGGGGCGTGAAAGCTGACTCGAACGCTATGAAAAATTAAATCTTTATTATCCCTTCTTACTCGGACTTCAATTGTTTCGTCTAGTCATAACAATTCGATTGAGTAAACATATGCGCAATATGACTGTATAACTCTATTTACAAAGGAACAAGTGAATCAATGCATTTGGGCATAGGTAGCCCTCTGCTGTTCAATGTTATGCTGTTATCTCAGTATGTATAGTATCATATTCTAGCTATATATTGAGAGAAAGGGAGAACTTTGTTTTGGATATTCTTTTTATATTGACTGGGAATATTATTGGATCCTACATTTTTGTCATTATGCATAGATTGTTTTGAATTGCAAATTTGCAATTGCTTAACCATGGTAAAATCCAGAGCAATGATTTGAAATACTTGGAGGCTTTATAGTAGTCTGTAGATGTAAATTCTATGAATTTTCGAGACCATAATAGAGTTACTTGATTATATGCTCAAAAAAAACTAATGCATTGTCTTAAGGGATTGTAAACGAACTTCTTACTAAGGCATACCCGGGCAAAGGGGACTCTGAAGCAAACTCTGTCCAGATTTACAAAAATCATGTTTTAACCCCTTGTGTTCTCGTGTTGGATAAAGTGAGACTTACAGAATGTCGAACTTCAGGAAACCGTTAAGGAACCTTGTCCCCCGGCCCTTGATCATTGTGTAAATAGAGCATAATGAACACAAAAGGATTTTTAGAACTGATATCTATTACTTTGGGATTGAGCATAGTTGAATGATTGATTGAAATGTTTTAGCACCTTACAAAAGGAGGGTGCTTCAAGTGTCCAAACGTCTCAAGAATGATTACATTGTTCTTAGTATTTCAGATGTTCTAAAGACGTCATTGGAGCTTTTCTTGATCAACTTTTTGTCCTCTCTAATAGTTAAGGTACTGATTGGTTGATGCAATTGAAGATTGCAGAATGCCAGAAAGATATTTTAGAAGCAAGAGCAATGATTGAAGAAGCTGAGCGTTCCCTCAACGTTAGTGGTGATGCTAGAAAGAGAGATCCAACAGACGGAGATGTAGTGAATAGAGATGAGGAAAGAGTAGAATCCGTAAAAGCAGCTTCACTTTCTGCAATTGTTGGCACACTTGCAGGACTTCCCATTTTCTTAAGTCGTATCTCCAGCAGTTCTGAGCTAATACTCCCTCTGTCAATCACATTTATTAGTTGTGCTTTGTTTGGTGTAACCTTCCGCTATGCTGTAAGAAGAGACTTCGATAATTTTCAACTCAAGTCAGGAACATCTGCAGCATTTGGCGTTGTCAAAGGTATTATACTCTCATGCTAGGTATTGTAATGTGTCGCCTTTCTCCTTCCATATTCTTGTGTAATTTTTTGGAATAGGAAGGAGTAGGTCAAAGTCTTGAGGATTTTATAGCATCAAGGGTTCATTATGGGGCTACGCAAGGCATACATACCAAAATGAAGGGTTCAATTGGCGTAGTAATTGATTGGCTAGATTGCGGGTTCAATGTGCTGAGAAACAATAATCTCAAGGTTATTCCTTGCTGAGTTTGGATGCTTGTTTCGTTGCTATCGATGCACACATATTCAGTTCCATCCATCTTACTACCTTGGGATAAATTGAAGTATTCTGGATTTTTTGTCTGTACATATGATCCTGTTCTTTCCAAAACGAGTTTCTGCGATAATTTGTTTTTTTAAGGTTAAAAAGATTCTATTGCATTCAATGCAGGCCTTGCTACACTTGGAGGTGGACCACCATTGGAGTTGGATGCAGCCAGCTTCTGGTCCCATGCTCTTGATGGCGCAGTCTATGTCTCGGAGAATCTTTTGATCTTCCTTTTTGCTGGAGTTGGCCTGGATTTATGCTTTAAGCTGAGGATTTTGAGCCCTTTTCCCATTGATAGATCAATTTCAGAGACGGATAAAAGCTAAACATCTTGTTGCCTATTTATTACTTCTGAGTGTATATACAGAGACCCAGTAAATTAACTCTCTAACAATTGCTTAGATAGAATTATACTTGAAAAGCGCCATTCACTGCAATTATCCATAAATTCAGTAAAATATTGTCAGGTCAGTCACAGGAGACTAGTTTCAGAAGGGATAAAGCTGCACTTCGAGTATCTTTCTGTCATTCAAGTTATCTGGAATAGCTATGATTGGGGTATTTCCAAAGACAATTCCTTTATAATAACAAACAATATTACATGATATAGTCTTCAAAAAAACTATGGGGATGCGTCCACATGAGTGTGCTGCAGCTAAACGCTCGTGGAGGAGAAATTTAAACTGAACCTTGTAACAATGACTACTTACTTGTTCATGGTATTTACAACATTGAAACAATGCAAGTTAAATGACCTATATATCTTCCAATTCCTAAACAGGTTAGAGCATTGAGATTCAAAAAGGGCTGGGCCACGCCTAAAGAATGATATCTTCAACGGATGTCAAGTGTGTCATCAACTGGAGCCAGTCTCAGTCTAAATCCTGAAAGTATGAAAAATATATTGTTATTTGAAGAAAAGACACCAATGATCTGTCAAACAGACTTTACATTTTGATATAACCTAAAAGAATAAGTGAGAACCTCATAATCATCCAACCGAAAGCTCACAATAGTTGGTTTCTTAGCAGAAACCCTGGTCCTCTTTGATTCAGCCACTGCTCTCTCTATATCAGACTGAGACAATGGTCTTGGTGCCTGTAACTGAGGAGTTACCATGTCTTTTTCTACAAGTCAGAACAAAATGCACAGATATTTGATCTAGAGGGAGAGAGAGCCACCTGTGATTGCTCTGCTTTCTTCTCATCTTGCAAATACTCCCCAAGAGGAATAAAGGCAGCTTGCTTGCAGGCTTCAAGAATGTCTGAACCAGTGTATCCCTCACACAAGCCAGCAAGTCTATCAAAATCAATGTTATCTTCGATTCTCTCACCCTTCAAAACTACCTTCAGAATCTTTGTTCTATCACTAAGAGAAGGTTTTCCAATCTCACATGCCTGAGAAAAGCGTCTAATTATTGCCTCATCAAGGTCACTTGGGCGATTGGTTGCTGCCAGGACCATTACTCTAGCATTCTCTGCACAGAAGGAAATTTCATTTACTTGTCACTCATAATTCATATCTGGTATGGCATTCATCAAACAACATATTTAGAAGTGCTATATCATTCATCCATGACTATTATGTTAGTCAAAATGAAAGCTTAACAAAAGAGACTTCCTAAGTTTCTTTAGAACAGATGAGTTTGAGAGTGGAGAGTGGAGAGATCAGTTTCATGGCCACATTTTCTGCAAGCTATTCATATAAAAAGCATGGAGGCAAAAGGGGATGGCATGTCATGTCGAACCAGGGATGAGTTATAACGTACTAAAGTAAGACATGCTACCAGTGCAGCTAAATATGTCTGTGTCCTACAGCATAAAGGTAGTATGTAAACTACTGAAACAGAATTGTTTATCAATCAAAAATAACATTTTAAATTATGTATGTAGCTTACTTTTAAAACACCATGAATGGATGCTACAGAAATATTCAAACAAAGAAGACACAAATGTGCAAATACAAAAATTGGTTTAATTTCCATGGGTAAAGCTAGAATTATAAATGAATTTGACAATGAAGAGCAGTTGGACAAAAAGAAACTAGCTATTCACAGGACTTGTTAAGGCAAAATGGAAACCAAATGCAGATTGTTACACTCACGATCAGTAGTAAAACCATCCCATAAAGCCATGAACTCAGTTTTCATGCTAGTCAGCATTTCATTCTCTGTTGAACGACGCTGGCCCAAAAAACTGTCAACTTCATCAATGAATATTATAGCTGGCTGGAGCTTGTAGGCCAAGCTAAAAACAGCAGCAACTGCCAAATAGAAAAAAGAAGAGGGAAACAAAGGTCATATGCTTATTATGGAAAATTGGACATTAAAGCTAGTAAATGCCAACATAGTATGAAAATAAAGGTGCAGTCTAGTCTTATCCAGTTTCTTCTTCTTCTTCCTTCCCACTATAGAATTAGCTGCAATTGTTAGCAATCACTTATGAAGGAAGATAGCATGTTGCATGCTAAACCTAAACCCTGCAAAAGCTCCTAAGTTTTTCGGTTTTCTTCCTTTCAGTGCCACATGGAACTGTAAAGGCAAATTGGAATAGCTCCTTCAATTAAAACAAAATTAGAAAGCTAACAAACTTAGCTATGCAAAGGAAATGTGAAAGACTCACCGAGCTTTTGGGCGTCACCAAACCACTTGCTCATTAGAGTAGAAACTTTGACATTTATGAACACAGCACCAGACTCTTTGGCAATGGCTTTAGCAAGCATCGTCTTCCCTGTCCCAGGTGGTCCATACAATAGAACCCCTTTCATTGGACCAAGCAATTTTCCATGACAAAACAATTCCGGCCTTCGCAGAGGTAAAATGGCCAGCTGAAACAAAGTTTCCTTAATACCATCCAGCCCCCCAATCGAATCAAATTCCACATCTATGTGGTCTGGATTCACAACATCCCCAGTTATCATATCCTGCAAGCCTTAATTAATCTAAACATTTCTATTGAAAATTTCGTTTTTGTCAAAAATAAATTAGATGTGTATACCTCATAGGGAGTGGTGTAAATAAGAGTGCGACCTAAGCGTTTGGAGAGGTGTTTGCGGGATTCAATAGCTTTCTTAGAAGCTTCGCGATTCGGGTCGAGATGACGAAGCCCAACAAAGAACACAGCCATGCTTAATGCTGCGCTTGCAGCGCACAATATAAGGTCTTGTATCAGCTTCCCACTACTGCTTCCCGCCATTGAAGCTCTTTTTAGGGTTTCTTCGTCTTCTTCTTTTATGGTTAAAGTTTTAACTGACAAAACTTTGTTGAGTTGAGGCCAATTGCCAGGTAGGCCGCTGCGTTTAGAAAAGGAAAGTGGGGCTAAATTTGTATTAAATTAAACGAAAAATAAAAATAATTCTACTTACATGTCTAATATTCGTTACTTTGGTATAATACCAAGTGTGAACAAAAAGGGGACCATTAAACTGTTTCACTTTACTTCACTTCAAAAGGTGAAAGATATTTTGATCAAAAACAAAATATTAGTAGCTCGTGAATGCGAAGATTTAAATCAAGATCTGGATCCTACAACAACTCTTGCCCACATTTCTAACTTCTCTATTGACCTAGCACAAACAACTTTAGTTCATTAACACCATCACGTATCACACATAAAACCTCATTTCAGAATATGAAATTGTGATAAATAATGTTCTGCCTGCACTGACGAAAATTCTTCAGGATGGTACACAATTTATGAGCTCACACCTGCCAATACAGCATGAACCTCTGCTCAACGTGAAAATTCTGAGAAAACAAACTACAATTGATACATAGAACTCAGGAAGAGAAACAGCATGAGGGGTGTTACCCACAGTACACTCTTACAGATAAGGCAGTCATTATTCTACAACTGCAAAAACATAGTAGGCCCTGGTCGAAATTTTGATAAGAGACAATTCAGATATTTGGTGTAGAGTTGAATCATAGAACGATAAGATCAATCCGTTGTGTACAGAAGATGCTTATTGTTTGGTCAGTGAACTACTTTCACAGTTACACACCAGCATATGATTGTGCTCCTTCCAAGGATTGGCATTAGACCCGTCAAAACTCAGCCTTAAACAGGTAAAATTAATGCTTCCTTGAAGTAGGATCTTCTCCATCTTCATTCAAGTGCTCACGATTTTCAGGTCTTCTAGAAATTTCCCAACTCCTTTTCTCATCTGCTGAAGACAACTTCTTAAGATCGTATGTTTCCTCCTTCATGACAATTTGAAAAATTAGATAGGAATGATAAACTTCTAAATCATTTACATTTGTCAATAAGTGCTTCACACGGTCTATACCTTTTCTGACATTCTTACATCTTTCTTCCCAGCAATTGAAGTTCCAGTCTCCGTAAATTTATCTAATACCTGAAAGTTTCCATCTTTTTGGAATGCTTCCAGCTGGAACAATATGAAACTTTCAATGAGGATGATACAATTCAGGATACACAAAGCGGAGTGATAAACTAAATAATGAAATAGAATTATACAAATAACTGAAGGAATTGAAGAGCAAAAAAAGGATCTCTGACCCTAAATAGAATGACAAGATATAACCAAAGATATACACATCAAAGGAAGAAAAGAATTATCATGAAGACTTCAAGCTTTAAAGTAGTTTTCAAGCTCGATCCTAACTATAAGATCTCTAACATCACAATTTTGTTTGTATTTGCAATAGTCCGTCTCCCCCTTAACTATGAGGCCAGCAAGTATTTATAACTATTACATCGCTATCCGAATCAACAACTGAAATAAGTAAAAACAAGGAAAAGCAAATCCCAAATCTACTAAACAATATATTAAGTAGAATCTACAAAGAAAAGGAAACAGGAAAAATTTACTAAAAATAGAATTCAATAACTCCCACTATTGGAAGAAACAAAAACGGAAACAAAAACTACGATTAGATGCTCTAGTCTGCTTGCAATAAACCCTGTGAGCTGCGCTTTCCAGGATTATATCAGAGAACCTCAAGCATAATTAATTTATAGAGTTTCAGATAGACTGTAAATATATACCTGAATGTGGAAGATGCACAAGAGGATGCTAGCAATGGGTAGAAAGCTATCTTCAGGAGATAGAGACAGGTTGTTGCTGCATACGATAAAAGAGCATAAGATTGAAATGCTTGGTTATAAATATCAAGGCAAAATGCCTCAACTAAACATCAAAAAATGCTGATAATGCCTTTGCCTAAACTTGTAGCAGCAGGGTATACCAAATTCCTAGAGAATCTGATGTTACCAAGAAAGGACAAAAAGAACAAAGGATGTCTTTGTAGAGTGGTTCAAAATCTGTAGGGGTTCCCACAGGCAAGCTTCACTAGCACCATTTCATTGCATATTTTCAAGTTCCTTGGTCAAAATCCTTGTGCCAACCCTGAGACTAGTTAGTGAACTTTAAAATTTTACAAGTCTTTCTAGTCCAATAATTAGGGGTAATTGTCTTCCAACAATAAACTTTAAATCTTACAATCATATCAGAGTTGGAAGCTTAACATGGAAATCAAGAAGGATAAGCAGTCATTCATGGAAATAGAGTACAATCCTTCATTTACCACAACTCGTGAAGGATCCTTGTTAATATAGATGACAAGATAGAACTCTATGTGTTTTTTTTCTTTCTGCTAGTTCAAACTTCAATACATTCCTTAAAGCACGTTCAGGGTGGTGACAAGACATGATATTAAAACATCACCTAGAAAACTAAAGTTTTAAGAGCTCCTTACCTTAAATATGGAGCCAAATACACAAGAGCATAAACTGCATAACGTGGTTTCCCAGTATCCAACCACGCAAAAACCCAACTCTACAAAGTAAACCAGCAAATCAATCAATCCCAAGTTAGTTGGACTTAGCTATATGAATCCCCTAAATGGTTCCAAACAACAACAACTCTTCACGCTCCTCAACCCTAAACGCCTATATTCCAATTTAAAACAAATGATGATTAAGAAAAAATCTCACCATCCAATTAAAATACGGAATGAAGCTGATAATTGCCATGACAGCAAACCTCGCATCAGCAGAATCAATTGTGGATTCACCATCGTCCTCCTCCGTGTAAGTAGTCGGGAAAACCCACGAGCTCAAAATGCAAGCACCAATAGCAGCGGCGTAAGGCACATCGTTTGCAAACTCTGCCCGGCAAGTTCCATTTCCCAATCTTCTCTACAAAATCAATAACCTATTTCAGCTCTATTGAACTCATTTTGATTCCAGTACATGTAGGTAGGTTTTTAAGTTAAAATGAGATTAGAACACGTAGTAATTAAGTTAATTACCAGATTAAGCTTGTTGCGGAGGCGAGCTCGATAAAGAAGAGGTCGAAGACTTGGTAAGAGAGAAGATCGTAAAGACGGCGGAGAAGTAGAAAGAAGTAGAGCTGCAGTGGAAGTGAGAGATTTCATTGGCGGAGATAGAGAACGGCGACGGCAGCATCTAATCTGTGCCCGGCGAAGTAGATTAGGTTAGAATTAGGATTATAGAATTAGTACTATTAGTTAGAAAAAGATTCGTGAATACTGTACGTCTTTGAAAACAGTGCCCCTTGAGAAAATGAATATCTTATGGGTCCTGTTTGGCGCTTTTCATTTTCGAGAGCGGGTCCACTGCCAAACACACTACCAACTTCGTTCATTTCATTTATTAGTTACATGCATAAATACAAACGTTATTTTACAAACCAGTATCAACATACCCACCCAGCAGCAGTGTAATCCCATCACGTTTATGTTTGCCAAACAAAAGAATAAAATTATTCCTATCTAACAGAAGACATGATGTCCACATATAAATTGGGTCCAACAGTACCAGATCCATCTCTCCATTTATGCAATGGCAATTTGGCAACGGCCACAAATATGTTAGGCTTGAGGGATGCTTGTGAAGCTAAAAGCTTTATTGAACACACATCTCATGATCATCATATATGATACAAAATTACACCTTAATATTGACTACATCATAAACTAAGGATCTACAAATGAAATTCGAAATTGAACCCACCACTCCCACTCTCTAGTCTCTGCCCGCTGAGCCCGCCCTTCCTCCCTCCACAATCTTCTATATCTAAATAAAAATAATAATCCCTTGACGTGAATCTGCACAAGAAGCTTGTTTTCAGCACCTACTTGTCAAACAAATGAAGAAATTATCTATGCGCTCATTATTTTGTTTATTGATTCTTGGAGATGGATTCTTCCCACACGAGCTATTCAACAAGGACAAGTGCATGATTCAGTGACATAAGAATAATTACACTCTGCCTCTTCCTATACTTAAACCTGCAAAAGCAAACGACAATTACGTCTGTTCAAGGCATTTATATGTGTGTGAAAAAAATCATAATTATCTGCTCTAGCAACATCAAATAGACACCTGAATATACACGGTGTTTATATATGAAACGTATCATTGTCATCAGGATTCCAACTCTCTTCTGTCCCCATCCTCTCCGCAACTTGACATGGCATTTAACCGCTGTTGCAACTGTAGCAGTGAAAAACCATTGTTAGCAACACACTTGGATGCTATAAATAAACCTTTCCAGTTCATCCCCTCAATTGTTTTAACTTTGGACCTAGTTTTTTAAACCTCATCAAAGTAGTTCCACACAGTTGGTCTTCTATTACTATCTTTTCATTTACTTCAATTCAATTAATATTACATAGACCTTTGCATCAAAGAAACCACTGTGCACTCACCTGCCAGTATTTTAATTTTTCTGCAGTTAACTCATCTGTCAAATTAATCATCCTGCAAAGTAGAGAGAAGATCAGTTCTTCAATTAGAAGTCCCACATAGAACTGTGAGAAAAATGCACCACAGTTGATTTGCGTCCACAGTGGACTGACCTAGCCTGAAGCTCAGATATTTTGACTAATAATAGCTTCTCCCTCTCAGAAACAGCTGCTTCAACCTGTAAAACGGAAGTGTCTTCATCAAAATGAATGGTTGCCATGTGATAAAAGACAAGTTCCCAATAAGAGACATGTTTATACAGCTCCATGTAAACATTTGCACTTTCTCAAAGTCTTAAAGCTAAGCAAATTTTCAAAGCAAAGACATGTACTTACAATTCCATTGCTCTCTGGGCGCTGTAAGGGAGATAACTTCCCATTTTGAGAAGCTGAAAGAACAAGAAATTTCAATCTAAGTAAATCTGAATCCATGTTACTATTGGTAGAACATATTTCTTTACATAAGGACATCAGACATTTCTTCCTCATACTTACAATCTCCTGCCTCAGATAGTTGCAAGCTACTCAATAGATTTACAATGAGATCCTGATAACAAATGCAGTAGAAATTAAGCGTTAGAACAACCGAGAAATAGAAACGGACTAGTTAATCCTGAATTTAACATTTCTTTTCTTGTTTTTGTTCTGTATTTTTTCCTGTGTGCGCGTTTGGGTGGGTGGGGGGGGAGGGGGGACACGGATCTTGCATCTTTACCATACACTGATGCCTTACCTGTTGAATTGACGTCTGTTGAAAGAGATTTTGTAAGTGAGGCATGAGAACTGAAGCAGGAACATTATTAACGCCAAGTTCCTTGGGCGGTTGACTGGGTGGCTGAAAATTTATGAAAAATGCAGTATTACAACAAGTTCTTTGCTTTTTCTCTTGGTTAAGACAAAATAGCACCATCAGGGTGGAGCTCAAGTTTTAACATAATCACATGACTTAACTACAGCTGTAAAGTAAGGGACAATACACACACCATTTGTTTAGATTCGACCAGCCATTCTCCAACACTAGCAGACTTCCTAAGTGGTGATCCCTGTGAATCACAGAAATCTTGTGTCAAAGATACAGCAGGAATGAAATACTTGAGTTGTTTTGAGAAGGCAACACCAAACCACTTACTTGAGAAGATCGTCGAGGAACTGTACATAATGGAATATCCTAACATAAATATTTAAGTTAGCAAATAGTGATCTAAAAGAAAGAAAATGACAAAATATGATTTACCTTTACAAGATCTACATTTTCTGATGTTACAGAGAAACGGCCTTTTATTTGGACCAAGTTCGGCTTCGACTTGTCATCCAAGGAATCTTTGAATCCTGAACAAATAAAAATCATCATTACTGCAAAGAGAAGTCAGCCTTTAATAGCATGCCACCTAGAGTTTTTCTATAAACCATTGTGGGTCTTACACACAATAGCAAAAAATGAACTTGTCTTGAAAGCATTAATACCCCCAGATGATTTAATCGGAGCTGATAAACTATTTCCTGAAGCTCGATTTGGAAGCATTAAAGGCCCACTAAAGCTGGGTGCTCTTCGCACTGGATGAGCTTTATCTCCTGGTTGTTGGTTTTCAATCTCACTTCTGCAAGAGCAGCATAAGTTGCCTCACTGAAAGTTCTCAATTGATAACAGTGTCCAAATAAACAGTCATATATGCAAATGGTCAAATAAAGCACAATGAACTACATTAGAATGCTATTGGATGATTTACACACTGATTTTAGCCTCTATAAAATGAATCCAACACACTAACTTTAGAGCAAAATTCCTGTGAGAATTCCTTCTCCAGTGGAAATCTGTTTTGTTCCAATGAAGAAACATTTTTAAAAAATTGGGGACTGCCATATTAGTAGAGAGACCAAGTTTGAGCATTCAGTTCTAACCAATTTCCTTTCACCCTATTACAGTTGAAATGATATGAAAAGAAAGGCAATTTGATTCCTGAAAAGTAATAAAGCTTCTTAGTTAAAGTTTCGGTGCAATGCTTTTCTTTGGCGCAATGTAAGAGATACAGTAGAATAAGAATACAATGAGTCGTACAGAACCTTTCGGAGCTTCGAACTCTTTCTGATGCCGAGTGACTAAGTACAGCGCCAGCCATAAGTGGTCCACTCTGACTTTGACGAGCTTTTGGTGTTTGAGTTCTACTCTTGGCTGGTAAGACATCCCTGTCTGAGGTTAGGGGTGGCAACTCTGTTTTTGATGCATTCTTCTTCAGTCCATTTTTCTCCCAATGATCAGAATCTGGTGTACTGCTCTCCAAATCTTTTCCCTTCTTGATCTCGTATTCAGCTACTGGCACTTCACCAATACTTTCTTGCTCACTGGGCACAAGATGTTCAACGAAAACTAAAATTGAGATGATAATAATCCAAGGCATAGCTTGACCAAAAATAAAATTTTAACTAAAAGCTCACATAATCTAAGCCAATGCATAAGCATTACCTAAACTATCATATTTTCGTGGTGATGACAAAACTATTATTAATGTTCTCCCCAGGAGAGAGCTGTTCTCACAAAATATGCTGATGTTTTATATCTTCTGAAGAAGATAAGATATTATATTGAGAATATTTGGTTTGCACTTGATTCCACAGGAAAAAAAATACGCTCCAGAAGAGAGGATATTATGTATAAGACAACTACTTTTTGGAACCGAAAAACACCTGAGGTTACTGATGCATAGTGGATAATGGATCACCCCTCTACCCTTCTACCCTTAACGTAAATACGAACAAACTAACTTAAGTACATCAATATGGACTCTAAGAACAATATTTAGCATGAAAGCACATACAGCCTGCACCTCTATTTGTATGACATGCTTAGTATTGCGGGATATTCAAAATGTTTGACACCATCCCATAATACAATAAGTCTTTCACAACTTCCTATGATAAAGATTTGTTCAAGTATCCAAATTTTGAACTTCAACATGATATTTCAGTATCATGCTAATTTTACAATCACTAATTTGATATTTATTCCATCAATATAATATATATGTCAAGTTAACATCTTAAACTCCGCACCAAAAAAGTATGACTTTTGAAAAATAAATGGTGGGAGTATAATAGTTGGCCCAAAATGGTTTAACTAGTTCTAACACCTAAAAGTTCAAGGAACTCAAGTTAAAAAAAGTTCAAAATTCAAACAAGGCGTCATTCCCTCTAGCAAACTAAGTTACTAACAGCTACATTTTGATATCTTTCTACGACAAACTCTATGTGGCTGGTCAAAATGAAAAAGAATATACCTGGCAATAGAATCTTTTCTAGGGGTTGATTTTCCAGCATATTGTAGGGCAACAGATTTCTCCTGCAAATAGGAGAACAGTTCAAGGCTGATCTGAGTAACTTGAAAATTGACTAAAGCACCACAGAAAAGACTGGCAAAGACCTTGTAGTTCATATAAGCTTTGATGGTATCATCTTCTTCCTTAATTTCTTGTATTTCATCATCGTCCTGTACCTGCCCCAGAAATCGAGAGACTATTAAATTTAGGATGGCAAAATTCATGGAGCAAAAGTGAAAGAGCGTCTTTATCAGATATAAAGAGACGCCTCTCATATATATACCAGTGAAGCCTGAAGCTTTAAATCCTCCAAATCAAAGTTCCAGGCGCTAACTCCCCGTTGGTACTCACTCTGTGAAGAACAACAACATATTAAAACAGATGGGAGATTTTGAAGAAGGAAACTCACACCTTGTTCACACTCACATGCCACAGATAAAGAAACGTGAAAAGAGAAGGACTGGCGTAAGCAACATTAACACTTGCAAAAAGGGAAAAAGATGATGGAAAATGCATTTACTTGCTTTTAGATATAAACAGGGCCATAGACACAATATCAGAAGCAATCCTTTGGGCTAAAAACATCAAAACATTCTGAGTACATCGTCACCCATCTTTTTTGCTTTTTCTTTTGAAACCAGAGATAACGTCATCAACATCCTATCCCCATGTCCAAAGAAGACAGGAATAGAAAGTACAACATTCTTTAAAAGTATATAAAGAACCAACAGAATGGATTAGACAGTTATAAATAGCAATTATACACCTACCAATTCGATATCTCTGATTTTCATGGGATGCACAAAGTTCAAAAGAGAAAAATGGAGATCCAAAGATCTGGAATTCATATTGAGAGGCTGATTACATTTTCTCATTAACGATGGAAACCTAATTTAAGAGTTGAATGGCATTTTTGCGCACAGAAGAATAGCATTACAGCTAATGGAACAAATAAATGCACGGGAACTTAGATAGCATAACCATTCAAAACTAATGAACACTGTCATTGATGAAACAATTGTCACAAACCTGTGATAATGCTTCCTGCTCGGAAGAAGGCATTCTCTTCAAAGCTAGTTGGGCAGCATCTTTAAGCTGCAATAATTTCATCAATCAGCAATAAACAATGATAAGTAGGAAAATTAAGCAACCCTAGAACAACGATACCATGAAATACCTGTAGAGCTTTAACTCGATTCCAAAGTGGTGGCAGGTCAGCAAAGAGTTTTTTTACAGAAAGCTCTGGGGGCTTAGCATATTTGAAAAATGAATGCTTCAACAACTTCTCAGCAGTTGGCCTTTTAGTTTGATCTTTCACCAAACACATCGCAACCATTTCCTTGAATGACTGTTACGACAAGTAAAAACCATTTTGTTCTTCGTACATGATACAAAATAAAGATTGAAGCACGTAGCAGATCAACATATACAAATATCTCCATGTACAAATGCAAATGATACGACTAACTTTTCTTTCTTTCTTTTTTTTTTTTTTTGGGGGGGGGGGGGGGGTGTGTACAGTCGAATTAAACCAGTATTTAATACCTACTTATGAAATAATTCCAAAAATGGAATTACTACCTTAGAGAATTTTTTGTCTCTGTCATAATCAAGTCCAGGAGGGGCATTCTGTATTGTCATCAGAAGTACCTGTGGCGAGAGAACAGAGGGTAACTTAAATAATGCATACTCAAGCACCAAGTTAAAGTATTGTTGTTGTACCCTCTTGGAAATGAATAGATACCTTCATTGGAGGGTACTTTGAAAATGGTGCATGACCATGAGCCAATTCCAGGGCAGTTATTCCAAATGACCAAATGTCAGCCCTGTAGAAGGAAGAAAATTAGAGTCAATAGCATTGATAATCTAAATACTCTCATAGACCCTGCATAAGTACACAAGCATTATACTTAGACAAGAAGAAAATGTAGACCTTTATGTCAATATTCAGAATCTCATCTAAAAGTGTGTTTGATAACTGTTTTAAGCACTTAAAATTACCAGATTAAGTCATTAAAAAATAAGACTTATTTATACAAAAACTCAAAATCATGTAATACTCCATGCGCCACTTAAATTGCTTTACCAATTTCAAGTAAACCAAAATTTAGTTATCACTAAAGTTTGAAAGACCACATATCCGAGAACAAGTTTCTAATCAACCGTAGTTGCTTATTACATGAACAAAATGCTTGGAATATGTTATATCATGAATGATATAAGCTTCATCATTACAACCTGATTAAGTCCAAGAAGCTAGCATTATCTAGTGATAAATTAATACACTCAGTTTTAATTTCAAAAAAATACTAAAGAGGATAATTCATATTTGAATTCAGTGACAGGATTAAAATGCATAAACTTAATACCTTTCAGCACTAAAAGTTCAGTAAAGTAATTCAATGGTACAATTTCAAAAAGAATTCAGCCTTCAGCTTTCTCAAATAGCTCTCAGTCAACCATTAAATGAAAAATGTACATCATAACATATGAAACCATCAAGATCTTACACCGTGACAGAGAAAACTCACTTAAAATCATATCCAGTTCCAGGCTGCAGAACTTCTGGTGCCATCCTACAAAATAAAAGTAGTTCATGCCTTGATAGACATGTAGAGCACGAAAAAACTTGCATAGAAACAATTATAGATAGGAAGTGACTGAAAGGATGCCTATATGCTCACCAGCACGGAGTTCCTACAAAGGTATTCCTAGACCGCTGTCTATCACCACTGTCAAACATGCATGCGGAAACACCAAAATCGCCCAGCTTTACTGCCCCATTAGTGTCCAGTAATATATTCCCAGCCTGGGATGAGAAAAGTGGTAGAGAAACCACAAATATCAGAATTTGAGGGTCAAAAACAAGGGAACATCGGTTTTAACAAACCTTCACATCTCGATGTATGTGCCCATGTCGATGGAGATATTCCAACGCCTTGAGAGTTTCCTTCAACATAGAACAAATAGCAGATTCTTCGAATCCATCTGGATATGCTATTTTCATGAGATGTAGACAAGAGCCCTCAGCCATGAAGGGCATTACCACCCATAGGTAGTTCTCAACAACAAATGAACAGAATGACTTTATTACATTAGGATGGTCTATCAAACTCATAGTTTGAGCTTCCCTGCGTATGTCATCCTGTGGAGAAATAATTTTTTTCAAATACCTATAGCAAAATAGCAGCATAATCCTACCCAAATAAAAATGAGATTTCAAAATACAGTCCTTATAATATAACACCTCCATTTGTAACTATTAAGAAGCCTTCCTTGACACTTCTACTCCTCAAAAAGGAGTTGACGGACCAAAAATCACATTGAGAATAATTTTCTCAAAAGGCTTAAACTTTCTTACAATGCATGCAACCTTGCTGAAAACAGAACACTATGGACTCAAAAGATACAAATACTGCAATTAAGGTTTAATTGTTACGGTCTCACTTCCACGAGATAGTGGGATTTCACTAGGTATGTTGTTGTAAGAAAACCTCCAACTTATCTTTAAAATGAAATTAAAAAATAAGCCAGAATAGACTTGAACGAACAAAGAGGATTCATATAGTTGATACCAAATAATTTGGGATTCATTAATAGATATTTAAATTTGTTACTCTTAAATTCATGACGTGGAGGAGGTTTGGGGCCCCCTGAAAACATTAACCAATCAATAAGTGAAAATATAAGATCCCAATTAGAGAATATATTAGGATCTTTCCTTCTTTTGGATAGGAGTGTAGAGCAAGTTTAAAAGGTAATTAGTTTCGCAGGTTATTATGACATGAAATGAACATACACCAACTAAATATATTGTTTCGTAACAACATGGAAATGAAATTATCTAGCGACACCCACAACCGGTTCCCCCTATCAGAATTTTCAATCCAAAATTGTAGGTCAAAGTTGCAATATGACAAGTAGTCCTTACTCCTTAACTATTCTATGCAATATGACAAGCTAGTCCCTAAATATTCTATGTAATAGATTTGAACTTGTTGATATGACTACTTTATATATTCTATGTAATCGTAGTTTTTCACTTATTTGCCCAATATAACTGTTCTTTATATATTAAGTTACTTTTTCTCGTCGAAGTCTTACTACACTAAAGCTCATGCTTCTATCTTTAGTTAAAAGCTAAAACACCAGCAAACACTTGGCAGTTTTCTATGTTTTTCGCCTTAGACAATACTGACCTGATAATTTTAGTGGGTGCTTACATTGAATGCATCGATCAACCTTCCAAAATGAACTATATTATCACAAGTGGAAAGAAGCACAAAAATGTTGGGTGGCATGAAAAGTCGAAAATAGACCAAGCACAGATGGTCATGGTTACTTTCAGGGATACTTCCTCTCAAATATTTTCATCGGGCTGGTTATAGTAAAGGGTCTATTAATTGCTTACGTAATCTGTATTTACTTTATTAAGAAAGAAACAAAGATGAATTCATTAGTGAAAATAATAACTTCAAACAGATGAATATCAGGGGGTTCAACTAGCGACAAGTCAAACAAGAACTTAATGAGAAATCCGCTAACAAAAAAAAAGGACTTCTTTGAATTTTGATAGCTACCGATCCCCTGATAAAATAGGATTAGTGGTGACAGGAATAATGTGATTTTATGTTGAATACTATAATGTGATGGTACTTGTAGAGAGAATCCACGGGCTTCTCAGATAACGTCCAGCAAACATGTAATTACGAAACAGTTTTGGTTTTGTTGTCCATTTCATTGTCGACCAATCTATCGCTCAATACAAGTCGCTCTTACATTTTAGATACTTTGTTATCTGATCCAACTAAAATTACATTACTGTGCATTGTTTTTCTTTTCTTTTGCCCTGCTAAATAGTTTTGTCGCATATTATTATATTTCTATTTTAAAAAAAACCCCAACAACAATAACAAAGAAAAATAAAATTAGGAAATGAATTGCCATAGACGTGGAGCAAATCACATTTCAAAATAGCCAAAGATCTTATATGTTCTTTTTATGCCCTTGAAGAGAACTTCATATGCATACATCATCAGCGGAACACCTAGCAAACCAGAATCTTTGACATAAAAGCGCAATCAAAAAGGAGTTCAAGAAAAGAATTTAAAGCTTCCAAACCTGATTATTGTTACTGCCTTACTGATAGGTAAAACCAGCTGTCACTTCAGACTTGACCCAGTTAATTGATAATACTCTGTCATCTGATTACACACAAATTAACTCTCATTCTATATCTATCCATGCATTCGCATTTAGTGCCAATTGGCACCAACAACAATGATGTACCCAGTGAAATCCGACTCCATGGAGTCGGGGAGGGTAGAATGTACGTAAACCTTACCATTACCTCTAGGAGGTAGAGAGGTTGTCTCGAAAGACACTCGGCTCGACAATGAACACCAACAACAGCGACATACCCAGTGAAATCCAACTAAGTGGGGTATGAGAAGGGTAGAGTGTATGCAAATCTTACCTCTACCTCTTAAGAGGTAGAGAAGATGTTTTGGGAAGAACCTCGGCTCGTCAATGAACTCCAACAGTGTGAAATTAATACAGGGTCAACAATAATATAAAATCAGTGACTTTTTTTTATGACAGAAACCCACAGCCGCTACCCTTTTGGGTGCGCAGGGTAAAATCAGTAACTTTGTTCAATCACATCACTTGGAGACACCAGAATTGAGTCTTGTTATATTGACTGCTGACAAAATACAAGGAGTAAAAACACGGACGTATGACAAGTCAAAGCAAACAAGGAAATCACAATTGAAGCCACGTCCTTTCGACTCTATGATCTCTATAGCCAATTTGCAATTCTAACCACCTATATCCATAAAGATAAACTAAAACAACATCTATCATTCTATACTAGAAATCACAAAGCAAAAAATCAATTAATCCGCAAGTCAAAGTCAATTATTTCCATCAGTAAACTGAGAGAGCAGAAAGCAGAAGAAATATAGACAAACCAGATTGCTGTTACAGCGATCGAGATCCAAGCACTTGACTGCGATAACTTCATTGTAAGGAAGATAGATCGCTCTATAAACTGTTGCACTCGCTCCATAACCGACTTCTTCGAGAAGCTTGTAATCATTTGGATTCGCCGAATAATTTCTGGGACCGCCGCCGCCCATCGCCGCTGGGACCGAATAAGCAAAATCGCTTTGTTATAAAAGTGAAGTATAAGTTGCCGATTGTGGAAATGGCCGTTGAAGTTGACGGAAGAGCATCGGAGAAAGTATTGGCAGTTGAATGTAGCTCACAAATGAACTATTCTATGACAAATTATCGATAATATTTTATTACTACTACCTATTTTGTTTTTCTATTTTTCTCTAAATTCTAGGCGATAAATAATTTAATTTACTGAAAGTGATTTTACTTTTATTTTATCATTAGGGGATCTGTTGACTACCATATCGAAGGAGATGCCTCGTGCCAGCCAGCATATGGATACGTGTAATTCGGGTCTGGGTTCCGGATCGTAACTTGGGTGGTGTAGAGACGCTGACGTGGATACATGTATCTCTGTGATGACACGTAGCCCTTGCCACGTGTCAATTTATTTATTTATTTATTTCTAGCAAACAAATAGAAAAAAAATAATGAGAATTCAAATTACTTGTGCAATTGTGAATTAGTCCTTGTTCACTATCCAGATTTATCACTTATAATCGTAATAATAAACGTAAGATTGATTAAGTTGGTGTGTTAAATGAGAAAGACAGGAGATTAATCTTGGATTTTTTTAAAAAATAGTCGTCTATTCGTATAAACTTAGAAATTTACTTGTTTAAATCAGGAAAAAGGATTGTTATAAATATAAAGTAAGAAATAATGAAATTAGGGTGTCAAACAGAATTTTTTAAATCCAATATTTTTATCGAATTAAAGACAGTGAAAGAGGGAAGCGTGACAATTACCAAAATTGAATTGCATCATCTCCCACCACATTACTCGTGAGCTTACAAGCATTCCTCACGATCAAAAGTGTGTTTTCATCTCTTTATGACAGTAGTATTTATTTAAACTACTAAATGGTGGAACAATTGATTCGAAAATTGCAAAGTAATAAAAACAAGATGAAGTAACAATTCTAGAATAATTTATTTTTGGATTAAACGAGCCTAAATGTAATACTTTGCAGAAAACAAAACTTTCTATATCCTATTTGTTAGAAATTACTAGCAGAATAATAAAATTATAAGGTATAAGTGGTGGAAAAAATGTCTACGCAGGATTATTTAACCAAAACAATGAGTTTTTTTATAGGAATCTCCTCCTCCTCCTTAAGCTCTTTGAAGAAGCTCTAGAGACCAAATAGCCCACCCCCACCCCAAGGCACATCACCCATATCCCTACATCTACTGCCCACCCAACTCCCTCCGCCGTATCGGTGTCGTCCGAATCGTCTTCTTCACCTTCACACTCCGAGCAGCAACAAGTAGACTCGTCATTTTCAACTTCTCTTTGTTCAGGAATCTCCTCCAGCTTCTGAAAACAGCTCCTCCGCCGTGATCTCACCGTCATCTCCACCTTCTCAGTAATCACTTCCGGCGGCGCGGCGGTGCGTCCTTCCACCGCCACACACACCTCTGCTCCTTTCACTTTTAAATCGTCGTTTTCCAACAAAGCGCACTTGCAATCGATTCTCCAGTTGTGTAGATCTTTCATGAAAATACCTTTTATGAGCTTTACATCAGCCATGAATATTTCAAATTTTACTCCTTCACTGGCTTTAACTCTGTCCCTGCTTCCGTAAATAACACCTTTCGTTGTTACATTGTCAGCTGATACTACCCGGTAAAGCGTAACGAAACCGGGGGAATTGGATCGGATTTTGGAATCATTAATCTCTAATGGACTCTCACTAATTCTAGGGAGATAATGCAGAGTTAGAGAATCCGGTGAGACGGTTTCAGTCGGTGATAAATGGAGATAAAAGCCTTTGATTTTCAGGCGATCTTTCTCGTTTGGTTGAAATCCTTTACACATTTTTGCTAGTTGATTGGAATGAATTACTCGTGAGGAAAGGAAGGGAGGGGGGTGACTCTTTTATGAGGGGCGGGCGACGTTTGTTTTGGAATGAATCTTGGGGCTGGAGTCTGGAGAGCACACGGTTTTGACTATTTCATATGCTCAGCAGACAGAATAAGTTAGGGACGTGGAAGGTGTGAGTTTCACAAAACGACAAATTTTACCCAATTAAATATTCTAGCCCAAGGCTAATATAGGAATACCATTTTAACGTGTTAGTAATATTAAACCTAGATCCACATGGCTTTATAACGCGCCATTAATTAATAAGACTTGCTTATTTATATATTCAATTACAGGGTAATGTAATTTGAAACTAATAAAAATGTGATAATTTTTGGAGGATTTTATGTATCACAAAAAATTAAATAATAAATTGATCCTAAAAGAGTATAGAAGGCGACAAAGTAGGAACGCCAACAGAGTTTTGCTATGCCGCGTGCTAAGGCTTTTTGTTAACCCAAGTCGCAGAAAGTAGCCAGCCATACAACATTGTAATTATGCGCAATTTGCTCTGCACTTGTCTTTTTTATTTTTCAGCAATTATTGAAACAGTTAGAAATAAATATATATACCCTTCAAAACGGACTACGCAGCCATATATCCAAACCTCTTTTATCGATAGTTAAATAAAATTTTATTTTTTTTTATAGATATTGGATCTTTTTGTTCGCTATTGAGATTATGCTGCCATTTCACTTTTGATCTCTTGCTTCGGATTTGACAGCAGTGCAAATACTAGAAAGTAGAAACATTTGTTTTGGGCCTGTTTGAAGTTGAAGTTGAAGTTGTGGGTATTACATTACAACATCAGGTCCACTTCAAAAATGTATTTGGGCCATCCTTCTGTGAAACGGATTATTCAGTCCTTGAATAATTTTGGCACTCAAATTGGATAATAGTAAATCTAAGTGAGTTATCAATCTAAATCTTTTTTTTTTTGGACACATATGTTAAAAGCTTAGGGATGAACACAACAAATTATAGGTAAGATATGTATCATATGGTTACATCACATTGTTTTCGGCTCTATGGAAGATATTGGACACATATAAACTTGGTAATCAATATTTTTTTCTTTTTGTTAAATGTTAATATCACCTCATCAAAATTCAAAAGTATCGTGTAGCTTTAGCTAAAAATATTCACTTTACTTTTCTGTATCCTCAATTGTGCTTTTCGGGAACATTAAGCTAATTGTTGGAGCTTTATACATAATATATATATATATATATATATATATATATATATATATATATATATATATCATGTAGTATCAATTAATTAATAACTGATTGATGGCTATTCAATTACCGTCATCAAACAAGAAAAAGATAAAAAAGAAAAAAGATTCTTGTTTTCACTTTTAAGTTTGTCAAAACTCTACAATGAGAGTCTTTTTTATTTTGTTAAGTAATTACAAATTTTATTTGTTAGATTTGACAGACGTGTGACCAAGTATTTAGCAAGAGAAGATATATACTGGACAAGTATGAAACTAGAGCGTATATGTTTCTTAATTAACTTTATTAATCATGAAATTTACTTGATAATAAATATCAAAGATGGCAATATATCAAGTTTGTCCTAGCATTTAGGTTTGATGGAATAATTAAGTAAATTAATAGTTAGAGAGGAAATTAAACACTTGAAAGAGACTAAACTTCTAGAAAGGAAAAATAATAATGCAGAAAATGAAAGGAGGTGAATAAAATTGGTAGCTATGGAGGAAATGTAATTATGAGTTACCCATAGTTGCAAATTGATATAAACCATTGACTTAAAAGAGTGAAACATTGTCACTTTCGAATTTGGAAGCGTCCATCAAGTGGCGTGTGTTTGCCTCTCTTACCGATCAATCAAATATCAATTATCAATTATCATATTCTTTTTTTTGTTTTCATTCGATTTTTAAGATAGACATTTAATGCAATTGTTCAAATCAAAGATAAAATACCTTTTTATTTTTGTTCCTTTATATATTCTTCTCTTTAACCATACAAGTCATCGTAGAAATTATGAGAATAATTTTGTCCATACGCAACAAAGATGTGTTCTATTTATTCTAATTCAGACCGAATACTTTTTTTCTTTCTCTTTATAAGTCCAAGAAACAAATACACGCGTATGAAAATATGATAAAATGGTAAAAGTACAAGTTTTTTTATATACTATAATTGATCAAAATTTGAAAATATATAATATAAAACTTAAAATTTCGATTAGTTGAGTCAATAGATCTGATAGGCTAAATGCTTCTAAAAATGTGGACTCAAAATTCAACCCCACACTACTATAGGAGGGATCTGATCTTAGTTTAACGGATAGTGGATGTTTTTCAACTCTTTTTTTTCTTTATTAGTTCATGTCTAACACATGCATGTTGAGTCTTTGTGGGTGTTTTCAACTTGGACCATATATAACTAGTTTGTGGATAAAAAGAAAATCAACTTTCCTAACATATTATTTTCTTTTAGTATACGCGTATACACTAATATAAATAACATATTTTATGAGGTTAACTTAATTATTTAATAGATAAATAAAAAAATATAAAATATTTTTCTTTAAAGATTTGAATCAAAATATCTAATTGAAACAGTATTTTATTAGGATCAATTAAGATGTTCAATTAAAATAATTTAGTTAAAATATCTAAATAGTATTATGGTACCATGTCCCATACCCTTATAACTGAATCATTCATTAAGTCAAATTATTAAGTACAATAATCTTAACTGCATTTGATTACAGTTTGTTTTTGTGTACTATATCATCTTTCTGATTTTTATAATATTCTTTATTCTTGTTGCTTTCAACAAGGAGATGATGATGATGATGATACTCCACTAAAAGTAGTGGAGGTAGGCACAAATAAAAAGATAAATCAATCCATTAATTATACAATAAGTTTATACTACTAATTTTACTGTAATTTAAAGCTACTTGACACTGGTAATTACGAGATTAATAATAAAGTATGGAAAAGATCAACTCGAGCTTTACAAAGCATAGAACTTGATTTGCCATAACAAAGAAAGATATATACCATTTGCACAAATTCCATGTATGTCATTAAGCATTAATTATGGTATAAGTTGACGATCAGCGTAAAATTTACTTTTTATATTTATTATAAACTTATTTTTCACTATATTGTGAAAATCTAAAATTTAATTACAAGTATTTTAGAAATAGTCGTTTAACGATAAAGTTGGAGAAAATAATTAGGAGAGTATTTTTTTAAAATTAATCATGTGAATTAAGTGTAAGAAATTTTTATTTATTTATTGTTTAAAAGAAAAAATTATATTGAACAAGTAAAAAATAAATCAAGGTGGACATGAGGAATATAGATCTCTTTTATTCAGAAATAATGATGTTTAATTAATCTGGAAAAGCTTGAGAACTAAAGTGGATTAGTACAAATTTTGTACTACAAACTCCAATTAATTTGTGAGTAGTTGATTAAGAGTAAAGAAAGGAGTATGATTAAGTATATAGCTAGGTGTCAGTCCCCACGTCTTCCTCTCTTTCTTATGCCTAATTTTCAGCTAAATGTTTCCTAAGTACTAATTGTTTAAACACTCTAATTATTGCATTAAACAATGTTTGGATCTTGTTTTACTAACTAATTTATATAGTCAAGTACAAAAAGTCCAATTTGGGGCCATACCTATAGATATTTATAGCCCACTTGTTTGAATTATATCAGTCAAAATGAAACAAGATTATTTTTATATACCAATTATTTCTCTATCACTAGTGTATATATTATATCAAAAAAATATTATTCTTGTAATAATTACTAGTGTTTGGATTCGGCTAGTTTAGCTAGGCTGAACTTTGTTCTCCCTAGCTTATCTATATATAGTATGATGTTTTAAATATAATTTTACTCATTTACTTCCTTTTATTTTAAATTTTAAATTTTTGTGATCTTAAATTTAAAAATATGTTAAAATATTTTTTAATTTTAATAGTCTAGAATTAAAGAGAGGTAAAAAGAGAGAAATTCTTTCTAGAATGAACAAATTAAATAGATAGGAATATTTTGTTCTCTTTGTATGGAACAGGTAGTTCCAACCTGTCCAATTTTAAGCATCATCTCTTCTTCTTTTTTTTTTTTTTTGCTTCTCTTTGATGAAATATATTTACTTTGAAACTCAGTTAATTTAATTTTACTTTAATATAAAATAATTTTTTTATGAAAAACAATTTCACTCACAATCCTTGAAGTTAGAATTTCTAATTATAAATGGAGGGAGGGTACTTATTACTACCATTTTATACAACACTACTACTTAACCACTATGTACACATACATATTAATTTAAATTTGATTATTTATGTAATTTTAGAATTAATCATACATAGTTTAATTTTTAAAGAATATTTAATTAGTTGTCATTTGTCAAGCAACCAACAGGAAGCATCTTTTTGACTCTTTTAGCCAATCAGATAAAGATGAATGAATTTTCCACTGTCCACCTCTCTTATTCATCTTTTATTTTATTCATATATAATTGACATATCACTCATTATATTCGAAAAATAATTCACATTCATAATATTCGAATATATTTATATAGCCTTTTGGAGAACTACAGGTTAATTCACGTCTTTGTCCAAAAAGGTTGATTTTTAAAGAGCACAAATTCAGTTTATTTCTAGATTTCAAAATTAAACATAAAATAAAATAACACAAAAGAAAGAAAGAGACATGAACCAAAAGTTGGGTTACTTTATGATGGAAGAACCTCCTCTACTAGTTCATTATCTTCATGTTTTATTTATTACTTATATATCTATATATATATATTGAAACAATTTAAAAAAAGATTAACTTAATCGTATATAAAATATTGTATTACTCTCTAAGTTACCATATTAAGCTTGTTCTAAAAAGGTTTCTTGTAACTATAAGATAATTTTATATGATCTAATATATAGCAGTCATATTTATTGAAGCAATTCAATTGACACCTTATCTTAAAAAAAATTACTTCCATGTATAAATATATTGAATTTCATTGTCTTTTTCATCTTCTTTTAAAAAAGTAAAAACTCTAGTTCTGTCATAGCTTTACTAATCATATTAGTGTATAGAAATTAAATTATATCCTAAAAGTATTATTTCGAACTCAATAACTGTCGTCTAAGTCTTCTATTTTTATTTTAAAAATTCAATATATATATAATTAAGATTATAAAATCATAATTGAATAACTTTTAAAAATGAACATCTAATCTCAAATATGCGTGTAGTCATGTAGAGATCAATGATAAGGTCTGCATGCCCGCAGGATACTTGTTAAATAAACTCTCTCCATATATGGTGGTTATTATTTCTTCTTTTTGCGTGTGTTTGTGGGTACATACATAAACAATATTTTTCTTTCCTTAGTAACATGAGAAAATAATAAATATTTCTCATAATATTAGTCAACTTATGCGCTACAAACAACAATTATAATTTTAAAAGTAAAATCTAAAGAAGGTCAGATATATATGGACTTTATTAGTAGGATAAAAAAGTTATTTTCGATAGACTCAGCTCTAAAATAAAATAGTCAACTTACAGTATGGAAGGCAATATTATATGAGTACAAAATCCAAAATTCTGGGACCAGAACCCATATGAAGAAACTCTAGGAATTGTTTACTTCATTATAAAAAGTTTTCATTCTTTGAGTTTAATATCTTCTTCTTTTTTTTGTAAAAATATTCCCAAGAACTATTAGTAGCTCTACCTCATTATATTGTATTCATCTTATTTGTAACTTGTACCATTGAAGAAGCTAACATAAGGTGTTATTATTTTTTATAATAATTGAATTGTTGCAGTTGAAGTGATGAATAATAGCAACAGAGAATTAGAGGAAGTTGCTATGGATGAGGATGAAGATTTGTCTGAGAGTGCTATGAGAATTCAACCTTGGACAAAACAAATCACGTTACGAGGAATCATTGCTAGTACAATTATTGGTAGCATTTACAGTGTGATACAAATGAAAATGAACCTCACAACTGGGATCAATCCTAATCTCAATGTATCAGCTGCTCTTCTTGCCTATGTTTTCATTCAGGCATGGACTAAGATCATTAAGAAGCTCGGGTTTGTGTCTGTTCCTTTCACAAGACAGGAAAATACCATGATACAAACATGTTCTGTCGCGTGTTACAGCATTGCTCTCGGAGGTAGGTATCATAATGTTTTTTTGATTCTATGATAATGTTGTGAAATATATATATTTTTGAAAATTTTCAGGTGGACTAGGATCTTATTTATTGGGAATGGATAAGAAAACATATGAACTAGCAGGGGTTGGAACAGTTGGAAATACATCAGATAGTTATAAGAAACTTGAAATTGGTTGGATGATTGGATATCTTCTTGTAGTTTGCTTTATTGGACTTTTTGTATTAGTTCCGCTTAGAAAGGTACTTCACTAATTCTTGATCATTTCAAATTAATTAATTAATTGATGAAAACATCATTTTGCAATGAATGAATACACAGGTCTTGATAGTGGATTATAAGTTGACTTTTCCAACTGGAATGGCAACTGCTGTTCTAATTAATGGATTTCATGGAAAGAATGATAAAAAAGCTAGGTAAGCTTTCCTTTTCTTTTCTTTTTTGTAGTAATTTTTTAAATTATTTACTATAAGTTGTTGATTATTTTGCAGAAAGCAAGTGAAAGGCTTCCTCAAGTTTTTTTCCTATAGTTTTAGCTGGGCTTTCTTTCAGTGGTTTTATACTGGCAAACAGGATTGTGGATTTCAACAGTTTCCTACATTTGGATTAAAAGCCTGGAAACAAACGTATGTCTTTTTAAGTTTAAGCTCAATACCCCTTATCTAAATTAAATGACGATGTATTTTTTGAATCTGCTTTAACATGATGATGGCCTAACATATACAATATTTCTGTTGTGGTCTAGATTTTACTTTGATTTTAGCTTGACTTATGTGGGAACTGGAATGATATGTCCACACATAGTAAACATATCATTGCTTCTTGGGGCAATTCTTTCATGGGGTGTTATGTGGCCTCTCATTGCAAAACTTAAAGGAGAATGGTTCCCTGCTGATATATCAGAATCCAGTATGAAAAGCCTTAATGGTTACAAGGTTAATATATGATAATCTCTCTCTCCAAAATTTTCTACATCATTTTCTAGTACTATATGTTTGTTGCTATATAGGTCTTCATCTCCATCGCGCTCCTCCTTGGTGATGGGCTCTACAATTTTGCCAAGATATTGTATTTCACACTGTCTAGTGTTCACGAGAGGTTCAAACGCAAAAATCTAAGTCCAGGTAAACTTCAGAATTTAGCTTTAGCTATAAGTACTGTTATGTATGGATGATGATTAATCAAATACTTGGATTACTAGATATATCAGCAGCAGGGGTGAGGCAGGAGAAGAAATCAGAGGATGTGAAGTACGATGAAGCGTTTGTTAGAGAGAGAATTCCAATGTGGATAGGAGGTGTAGGGTATTTAGCATTGGGGACTATTGCTGTGATTATGATTCCATTGATTTTCCATGAGATCAGATGGTATTGGGTGATCCTAGCTTATCTTTTTGCTCCGTCTTTAGCTTTCTGCAACGCGTATGGCTCAGGCTTGACTGACATAAACATGGCATATAACTATGGTAAAGTGGGACTTTTCATGATGGCTGCATTGGCTGGTAAAGAACATGGTGTCATTGCTGGTTTAGCTGGTTGTGGTTTGATAAAGTCAGTAGTTAACATTTCTTGCATTTTAATGCAAGATTTTAAGACGGGGCATTTAACATTGACATCTCCAAAAACTATGTTTCTTAGTCAGGCTATAGGGACAGCTTTAGGCTGTGTGATAGGTCCATTATGCTTCTTTTTGTTCTACAATGCATTTGATATTGGCAATCCAAATGGTGAATTCAAGGCACCTTATGCATTGATCTATAGAAACATGGCGATTCTCAGTGTACAAGGTGTTTCAGCTTTACCTCAACATTGCTTGCAGCTGTGTTATGGGTTCTTTGCATTTGCTGTTGCCATAAATTTGGTGAAAGATCTTTCTCCAGAGAAGATAGGGAAGTGGATGCCATTGCCTATGGCGATGGCGGTGCCTTTTCTAATTGGTGGTTATTTTGGTATTGATATGTGTATAGGGAGTTTGGTTGTGTTTGTGTGGCATAAACTTAACTCTAAGAAAGCTAAGGTGATGGTTCCAGCAGTTGCTTCTGGTTTGATCTGTGGAGAAGGTCTATGGATTCTTCCTTCATCTATACTTGCTTTGGCCAGGGTAGCTCCTCCAATCTGCATGAAATTCTTGGCTTCTTGAAGAATTTCAGTGTCCAACTGGTCCATAAAAATGAAAATAACTAATGTACTGATTTACAAGAACCTACAGCTCGTGTCGTTTATTTTTTTCTGTGCTCTTAGTCTAGGAACTGATAAAGTTGTATCTCACAGATGAAATTTATAATGAGAATGGGTGGCATTCATTTACAATAAATTTCGATATCCTGAGCAAAATATTACAAGTTTTCTGTAAGCATTGTACATCCATCCAATAACAAAATAGAAAAGAGAATAAGGCATATAAAGAAAGAGAGGTGAGAGTAATAACATTGAAAATACACACTAATTAATCATGTTTTAGGCACAAGTATGTGTGCAAAGCTTGCATTCAATAGTTTAGAGATTTTTAAAGAGTGTTTTCTATTATTATTATAAGTAAAATCAATTGCACTACAGTAAAAAAACACGAATAACTTGAGAAATGGCAAGTAACTAGATATGATTAAGGATCAATCGTGTTTATAATGTCTCTGAATATATCTTAAATCCTTACCAAATGCATAACTAAAACAGCTATGCAGCATTTCCTCTTTCAATTTAAATAAGCAAATCAATTCGATAGACGATCACAAGAAGAACCCTCTAAGAATTTAATTAAGAAAGTCTCATCCTTAATCCACGTCTATGAAACATCAGTACAAGCTCAAATTTCTGTAGTCCTGTGACGTACGTCCGCTTACAAGAGGAACTTCAATGAACCTCATTTCATGTGAAAAATCAAATAATATACAAGTGTACATTAGCAACAGACTCCAGAGGCTAATAAATCAGGCTTTTCTCGAGCAGGAATCCCACCATTGAGGTTGATCATATAGTTACATGCAAAAAGCTTATGAAGTGATGATGCCTGCCAAAACGTCACTCTTGCCCCTTGCACCTATCGTGTAAACCAAACGAATTGCATCAAGCCACCAGTCCAAAGATTCCCATGAATCAGCGATCTGACAAATAGAAGAATGTCACAAGATCATGCAAAAGGAAATTTTCCACGAAATGTAGAATACTATAACTCCAAAACTGAATGTAAAATTTAGGAGGTGTTCCAATCAATAGAGTAATCTTAAAATGAACATATTTAAAAAACTTCGTTTCCCACTCTCCTTCACCTACAAGGAGGAAATCATGGAGAACATAAAACTAAAGAGTTGTGTTTCACGAATAAGAAGAATGACGATCTGCACACAATGTTCATGTTCACCTCTGGGAAACCATTTTATATGTTTTCTGAACAGATCAAATGTAGACAGCAGTACGGCACTTTGTAACGGTAGCTTAAAGTTTGCGAAATTACCAGAACATCTTTGTACAAACCTGAAAACAAGTCCTATCTAAAGGTAATAATCTCCAATCCGGAAAGTCCGGAGTGAAAATGTAATTGAGTGGGCTAGAAGTGAGATAAACTGATAAAGATATGACAAATGGGTCTGTTCAAAGAGAAGGTAATATCTGAAGACAACCCAAAATGCAGTTTTCAGATGATACCAAAGTAAGCCTTTTTGTGGCATGAGAGTAAGAGCGGGAAGAAGGGCATTACAATCATGGAAGGTTTCTCACTATGACCACGGAGAGAAAAAGTAGATTTAACATAATAAAAATGGGCGTAGATAGATCATAAAAGTCAATTCATTCCTAAACGATAACCAAATTCCCATCACAAGATGAAGAAAGGTGAGTGGGCCATCACAGCAAACAGGTCAAGGCCAGTAAAGGGTAGGTCCGAGCTTGATGGCAATAATATTCCATAAATTTCAAACACATAGGCAAAGGCACTATGAAAGGATGGGCCCATTTTGCAAAGGAGGCAATGAATTTAAGAATATCAAATCATCTGCTAAAGGAAGCAATTAGAACACCCTACGTAGAAAACATTAGCTTTTGTTGATGAATTATAACTAGTCACCCTCCTTATAAAATAAACCATAAATGACTTGTAATTTTCATTGGCCTTGTTGACAGAGAATATGATGTCTCCAATTTATAGGTTTGTATAGGACTGATTTGTGTTCTGATCAAGTTAGAGAATATAGCAATCAAATTTCTACTGCTCTCTAAGGCATATTTATCCATGAGCTCAACTAACTATCAGAAGTAGCCGCAGGAGACATCATAAGTGGAAAATGTATGTTGAGAAAGCATGAAGAATTACCATGTAAACTGGCCCATGAATCGTATCAATACGGAGGCCTGCACCAGGTGGTAATGTAAGATCTGCACAGGCTGATACAGAGATGATATCTGGCACATCAACTTTAATTGCTTGTCTACTAGGACTCATATCTGCTGAATTTGATGAAAGGCTACTTGACATGTGTCTTTGATCAACTTTACTGATCTGTCCAAGCAAGAAAGGAAATTAGTTAATTACTAGTAAGAAAGCTACAATTATATATAGAATTAGACATGCAAGAGCATTCAGATCCATCATGTTGAAGACGTAATTAAGAATATAAATGTGTTCTCTTTCGGTATAGCTTTAAACTTTTTAAATGAGTTGGTCACACACTTCAACATGGTTAAAATCAGGTTGATCTCCTATGTTCGAGTCTCACTGCCACCTATTATCAAAAAGAATTTTCATGTGCTTGGCCATGAAAGAAAAACAGAGTTGCATGTGAAGGAACATGTTGAATTCATAACTAAGAACATGAACATGTGTTTTTTTTAACAACTTAAGCTTTTGAATGAAATGGTCACATAATTCATCACTACTAAAAGGCAAAAATATCTTGTCATCTACTTGATTGATCTAAAAGAAGAACATATCACTTTGAGTGCATCAAATGGATTTAAGGTTGACCTTTAGGGAAATAGAGAATTCTCCAGTTCAAGACAAAATAGCAAATGCAAATAGTCACAAACCTTTGACATGGTAGGCTTTACATAACTGATATGCAAGGCTAGAAGTTCAAAAGGATCATGCAAATAATGATAAGCAATAGTAAGGTCCAACAATGTGATCTGGTCATACTTTTCCGTAGTTGAAAACAATTTAAGACCCATTTGACCATAAATTTCTTTTTGGGGCATAATATGTTTCGCCATAGAATTTGTCTAGTTTTTTGTGAAATTTTGAAACCAAATACCAAAATCTACTAAAAACGTGATTTGGGACCAAAATGTGGCTGATGTCCTTTTAAATTTTAAAACTAACCCTAAACTTCTATATTTTATAAAAAAGCTCATCTATTTATGACCCCAACTAATTCCTACCTACCCTTTTCAGTCAACTGATCTGGAAATGCATACTCACCGTGAAGAGATTATTCGTAGAATGTGGAAATATTATATTGAAAAATAGCTAGTTAGTACTGTTGTTATTATTTAGTTTTTCACTAACGAATCTTCGTAACTAACTTTAATATGACAAATTATAGTAACTAGTAATTGTATTATTAGTAGCTTTTATTAAAGTATTGTATTATGATTTTAGGATAATGTATTATCTAGTTTATTATAAAAATGATAATTTTGTGCCGAACTTATGGATATTTTAGCTAGTTTTTAGAACTTATGGGTACAAGTCATGTTTCATGCTTTTCAAAAGAAAAAGATGACATGTCTCCGAAAACCTTGGCCAAAAACATTTTGAAATTTCAATCCAAACTTCACCCAAATCTGATTTCCCAACATTATTTGGGAAAATCTATGGTCAAACGCTAGCTTAATTTAGATATGCTATTATATTTGTGGTGAAACCTCATAGCATGAAAAAATTTGAATGCAAGACAGGTTTCCATATGAAGCTAGACTTTTAAACTCTCCATGAAGAAAAAAAGAGCCAGGATCGCGTAAAAATACTGAGCGTTTATTGTTAACAAACTGAGGCATGGAATGTTTTCACCTGTTGAAGTCCTTCCTGATTCAAAACAAACTGAGAACGCTTCCAGTCACTGTGTGGTGCGAGTGGATTACCAGCAGGTGGTGAAGTGAGATATCCGACCTTCAGGTAGGGCAGAGGTAGCTGAAACAGAGGAGTGCTTTTAGAACTTGATTGCATTATTTGACAAACTTACCTTCCTAGTAAGATCAAATATGCCCAAAGAAGAAAAAGCTTCAACACATGCTTATCTCAATAATCAAAATATTACATAATAAGAGCTAGTTTCACTAGACTTTTGACGGCAAAGCAAGAGGGTTTTTTAGTAAAGAAAGGGAAGGGATCCAACATAGTAATGATTAAAATTAGAATTACAGAATTATCTTGTGTAGTAACAAATAAAAACTTGTTCTCTATTTTCTCAACAATCAGAGAGATTAGTTTAAGAGGTAAAACCAACTTTTCATTGACCCTTCTCCTTTTGCTTTTGCCGTATAAAAGAGCTCCCTTGAATATAGGAGTACTTGATTTTTCATATATAAGCTCTTAACCATTTTGAATTTTGATCATCATAATGAAAAATTGTTATTCCATGATATGCCAAAATGCAATCCACTCTTTTTGAATCGAAACCTTCTCCCCTCATCTATATGTTAAAAAGATACACAAAACTCTCATTTTGATTCTTATAATATTTCAAATCTATCAAAAAATAAGTTTTATCTCCTGTTTGGGTGCCCTTCTGTTTAGCTGCATATAATTTCAAATATACTCCTACATTTCAAGCATAATAAAACAAATACAACAAAATAAGAAGGGGACTATTCAGAGACTACAGGATCAAAGCAACAATACATACCATAGATCTCACAAGCTTCAAGGCACTTGTATAAACCTGTATAACAACAGACAGCTGAAATGAGGACAACGGAGAAATTGAGAACCGCACAACAAGTTAAAACAGAAGAATAGCACTGGATTGCTGATGCCAACTTTCCTTCACAAGATAGCAGAATTATGATTAAAATCTTGAATTACAAGCAATGTGTATCACCAGGGTACATAGTTTAGTCTCTTTTGATACGGTTAGTCAAACCAGAGTATAGAGTTAATAAGTGATAATGACACCAGCACCAACAGTTACCATGTCAGTGGTAGATTAGTTTGAAGAAATTGGAAGGGAAGGCACGGATTAAAAATGACGCATTTCTTAACTTTACTCAATGTCACCACTGAACTCCTTCCCCTTATCATCACAACCATTTTTTATACAAACAGAAATACAATGGAGATAAAATGGAATCATATATTTTAAATATAAATGACATACCGAGTAATTTGGTTTAAGTGCATGTGCAGCAGCAATGTAAATCGCAGACTGGCTGTACAACTCATTAGGAGAAATACCTTTAGCAGTAACAGCTCCCCCTGTTCTTGACATGTCCTCTGCTAATCCATACTGCAAGAGGATGGTGCAAAAAGAAGGTTATCATCATTTCCACTTTGTCCTTTCACAATTCACATTGTTTGAGTTTTTTCAATTTTCACTTGAAAAAGGAGGAGGTTGCTGTAAATGATCAACACTCTCCCAAGTCTCAAGTACAGAAGCCAGAAGGAGCAAATATGTAAACCCACCAGAACAGTTCCAAGGTTGTAGATTGCTCTATGGAAATCAAATTGCAGCTGGATTGCAGCACGAAACTGCAAGTTCATATGAATTGATGAGTGACGTGTGAGCATAAACAAAAATTATATAAACAATTGTTTTAGAATTCTACCAAACTACTGGACCTAAATGATTTTGCAGCTTATTCTTCATATTTAGATTTTAGGCTCTGTGTCAAATAACACCAGTACCTTACTGATCGCTGTTTTGACAATTGTTAGTTTTTCTCTTGCAGGAACAATTGCACTGAGTTCCTGGATGTATTTCAAAATGCATAAGATCAGATTTCATTCAGCAAACTGAAATACACAGCAAAACTCAGGAACTATAAAGACATACACTACACTAACAATATTTTAAAGTCTAGAAAAGATTGTCCAGAATAGGGTTTTCAAGTAAAGATACCTGCAGGGCAAGTCCCCAGTTGTTCAATGCCTGGAATGACAGTCGAGGCATTAGAGTAGGAAAAACTCTTAAGGACAAGAGATCAAAAGTAGATCAATAAAAGGTAAAATAAAAGGAGAAAAGCAGCAAAATACATATAAAATGAAGGCCAACGTCTACTTAACTAGGGATGGAAATGGGGAGGTGCAGGTTGAGCTTAACCCGCAAAGTTTTAATCCGCCCTGCATGAACCCGCCCCCATAGTTTTTTAATATTTTCTTTTTCTAGTTAAATTTGGTACTAAAAATAAAACTCATAAAAATAAATTCACTTTTACATTAAGTTGTATTAATTTAATAGGATAGTGACTTCAAATCTTATTTTTTAGAGGTCAATTGGGAAACATGTGAGAACTTGAATTATTTTTTATTGAGCCATCTTCATTTGCTATCTTGAATGTAGCTTTAAAGAAATTATCTTAACAAATAATAATTTATCACTCTTATAACATGTAAAAAAATTAAATTAAGTTTAAACCCACATAAAATCACATATACCCCCACAACCTGCCCCCGGATTAGTTTTAAAAACACAGTTCAACCCACCCTGCATCCCACCCGTTCCGCACAACCTGAAACCCGCCCTACCCCGCATCCTCCCCGCCCCATTGCCATCCCGATGCTTAACCAGAAATTAACAAGCATAGCATATAGAAAATCGTTCAACATAAAAAAATATTAAATAACTACAACTGCATCCTTTAGAAAGAGTTGTATGATATACTGGTAAATTGGTACACCCAAAGAAATTACAAGGCCTTTGTACTAATAAATAGGAAAAATCAGAAGAATATCTTGGTATTTGTGATGATACAGCCTTCACAAAAATAGAATTCGAAAAAACTATAGTCTGGTAAGAAAAAAACAGGGACTAATAGAAACTATTACGGTTAATTAAACTAGATTAGAAATTACCTGTGGACTGTTCCAATTGAGCTGGACAGCCTTTTCATAATTCTTTGTTGCCTGAAAATTTAGAAGAATAAGAAAAGTTTTTTGAATAAGGACGAGTTTTATTGTTTTGATGAAATCATAAGTTGCCAATCAAAGCATAAAAATTATGTTTGTATTCTAAAATATTTCTAGAAATATCAAAATAATACATCTTCTCTACTTATATAAGTTTTAAAAACCAAATAGAAGAACGTTGGCAGGATTAAAAGCAGTTTTTGAACAAAGTTGGAAAGCAGAAAAGGATGAACATGCTAGTGAGCCGTGGAAAGGTAGTTCAGAGGTGGGAGAAGGGAATGATGTGGAACAGCGATAGAGGATAGGAAGGGCGACAGCAACAGATGAAGAGGAAAAAACATATGGGAAGGAAATGGTAAGAATATGGTGACGAAAATTGGGTTGGGGTTGGGGAGAAGGTGGGAGCGGTAGTATTGAGGATGGGGGATAAAGGTAAGAGTAATGTTGGATGTTGAGAAGAATAGGGAACAAATAAACCAGAGACACATTTTTCTTTCTTTTTGGTGTTTGTGTGCATGCATGAAAGATGTATCTAGAACAGGAACAGTTACAACACCATCGTTTGAATTCTCTTTTCCACATTTTGAAACTTAAAACAGGAAACCAGTTCTTGATACCAAACCGTCCCTCAATTAGGTAAAAAAGAAATAAAAAGGCCAATGGTACCAAAGTGGTTGTTCAGATGTTACAATAATTCAGAATAACTTCTACTTATCAAGAAAAAATCAGAATAACTTCGCATATCTTCATCCATGGTTCTTGCAAAGGTTATACATCTATTGACAGAACATAGAAACATAGATGAGGAAAGATGCTTCCATCTATTAGGACCAAACAGACTCTTTTTCGCCCATGAGGAAAATAGAGAAATAACATAATAAAGTTAACAATACCTGCTTCCAAAGTTCTTCAGCTTCTTTTGTACGACCCCGGATTTTGGCTCGATCAGATATTGCAATGGCCCAATTGTAGTAAGCCTGAGATAAATAGGAACAAGACAGAGATAAAACAAGAAGGAAAGGCCTGTTCAGCAGCTGAAGAAATCTTTACCAATCTTCCATACCATGTCATAAGTATATATATATATACGTCTGTGTGTGCACGTGCGCGTGTGGTTGGGTGCATGCCAATGTTAAGGATAGGAAACTTCTACAAGCAATACGAATTGCTACTGCAACTTAATGTCATTCACTTCAATGGAAGTGGACAAATACAGTATTAAATTTGCAATTTGATACTAGGTAGCGGGTTTTGCTGCTGGAGGATAATGAGAAGATAATATCAAAAAGAATCATCAGAGAGAATACTAATATGTATGAAATAGTGAGAGATCATAACATAGGACAATAAATAGTGACTTTTCATATAAAGTACTCTGATCTTCAGGTAAATACTACTTAATCCAACATCACAATGTAGCCTAGACCAGTTACATTTACACAAATTTACATCTTAAATAAATGAATTGTAAAAATAAATAAATCAAAAAAATAATAAAAGGTTTTGAATACATACATCATTCAGCGTAGGACAAAGGCGGGTTGCCTCCTCATACTTTTTGCATGCCTGTTCGAGCAAAGAATCTTTTGAAGGTGAAGTGGAATCTGGGCTTACATTATCTGCACTTTCCTGCATGAAAAGTCAAAATTAGGAATTATTGAACCATGAATAATTTCATGAAAGGAAGATTCAGATCCTTCAATAAGTAGATATTAGATAATAGGATTACTCTTTCTCAAATCATTTTTCCTTATCTTTAGGTCGTTCCTAGATAAAGCTTGCATAGGATGACAAAAAGAAAAATTGCAAGACAATCAGTCTAGAAAACTGAGAAATCAAATTACCTGAAGAACCAGTGCCCAATTATACAGTGCATCATAATCTTCTTGATTTCGCTCCAGTGCAGTAGCATACCTGTACAAAGATCAGAACTCAGATAGGCCTTCATGAACTCAAAGCTTAATATGTGAAATATTTCTATGCAATTCAGAAAATTGATCCACAAGAATTGTGCCAAATGCACTAACCAGACCAATAACAACATACTTGTTGTAATCCAAAAAGTGAAGAATACATTAACCAGACCACAAAGAGAAAATAAACAAAGTCACCAAGAACCCCACATTGACACAGAAATGAGAATCTGTTCTCAACATGACATGGGATAGATGCTGAAACTGTCGTTTTTTTCCAAGTTTTTTTCTTCGTCTCCCATAAGATAGCAGTTCATTTTGTGGTCCTAACGGAACATTTCAAAGTATTCAATTGACTCATGTTTTGATATGAACAAGCTTACACAGAGCACTCAGAGAATACTCTATCAGATCAAGTCACAAACTACTTTAAAGGGGTAAATATCTCACATTCAGATCATCCATGGAGAAAAGTCCTGGAAAACGGAACTCCCCATAAATTGGCATGTGTAACTTGGCTGGGGGCTAAGGAGGCTTGCCTAACCAAGCACAACCTACAGAGTACAGAGAAGGGGAATGTACCTATAACAGATGTGCTTTGTATGACAGTATACGAAGATGCATATCATCTTTTCATTCACTGTAAATTAATCAATTGGATATGGAGCATGCTATTGGATATATTTGAGGCGAAGTGAACCATGCCAAAGACAATAAGGGAGATATTGATAAGCTGGACCAGAGGAGGAATTTGGTTAAGTTCAAAATTTAAATACCACAGTTCAATTGTATGGTGGATGCTTTACAGTGAAAGAAATCATTAGTATTCTGAAGAAAAGAAGGAAAGAATGCTCAGATAGATATAATTGCTTTTGTGTCAAGTTTTGTGGAAACGAAGTTGATACCACGTTAGACTTCTACTTTCTTTACAGGATTGAAGAGGAACTGAATTTTTTCCTTTTGCAATGTACACTCCCGGAATCCACTCAGTATTCGAGAAATCTCAATAAAATCATTATTACCTATTAAATAAAAAAAAAAGAACTCTGACTCCTTGAAGAAAGTGAATTGTCTGGAGGCCTCTCGATTTACAAACCATAAAACTTGTCATGAAATTAGAATTCAGAATGACAGCCTAAGCCCAATTAAGATATGCAACACCATAACTAAAATGGTGCTAAAGATTAGATGTACCTCCGGGCAGCATATGTTAGAATTCGTTGGCGAGATCGGCCCTCCTCGTCAGCACCTGTGACACTGTTAATCAAATCCAAGGCAGCATTACTTTCTGTGTGCTGTTGACTGCTCTGTTGACTGGAGAACCAAATTCACAAGTAACAGGAAAATGTAAGTTATAGGCTTCTTAATGTTCAATTAAGAAAAGAATGAAAAACAGTAGATGTCATGAGGTATTGAGGTCAAGCTGAAGTATTTGTGGTTGTAGAAGTGATTCAAAATAAACAGCAGAGATTACTCAAAAGATGATAGGTTGCATAAATTGATTGCATAGTTAAATCAATCAAAATGCCTTCAGATGTCATATCTCCGGAGAACTTAGCTATAAGGAGCTATTATTTTAACATCAAATGGAACTAAATCCTTTTAACTCTTTCAAATTCAGATTCAAATTTGGGATTAGATTGATGTTACATCATCACGAGGTGTTAAGTATAGCTCTTATTTTCAGAAAATGGTGTCTGAATCTATTCTCAAGGATCAAAACAGAAGCCTCAACTACTTGAAACATGAATTACACGAGACAAACTTTCAGCTATTAACCCATGACTATGCCATATAGGAACTCGAAATACTTTGAATTCATTTTGTGCTTTAGAAATTATTTTTGTGTTTCGTTATACGTACAACAATATCAGTGGTCAAGACAAGGTGTGATACCTTCAGATGCTGGCATGGTCATAACTCATAAACCAACCATCATTTTCTTCAATCATGTCAATTTTCTTGTCAAATTTTGTTAGTGCTTTGTTTACTTTCATTCATGGTTATTTTCTCCAAGTGAGTGTGCTTACTTGCCTTTGTGTCTGTTATACTATAATCTTCTTTACTTCTCTCAAATTTTGTTTGTGCTTCATATATTTTCGTTCATGATCATTTTCATCAAAACCACCTGAACTTTGTAACATTTCTACTATCGGACAATACATCAGCTTCTTCAATTAACTAGTTTTGTATTAAACTTATCTTTGTCTTTAATTTATCTTCATCATGATCATATCTGCAGTCAGCTTATAGTTAACTTGGATGAGTAAGCTATACATTCGAGAATGCACTTTTACTACAGAAGCATCTGATTCAATCTAGCTTGTTGATGATAATTTTTTAGTTGATAAGTACACATGAATGATATTTTCAGTTCTGCAATTGAAAGGTACATTGCATTTTATAGAGAAGCCAGCGAACACAAACCTGTGAGGTGTGTCGCTTTCTCTTCTTTCAGCTTCAGAATCTTCATTGGCATCTCCATTCTTCAATTCATCCAACAACTCTCTCATTGTAAATGTTCGGCTACCTTCATCCTTTTTTAGCTGCTTCGAGTTACTTCCCGTTTCATTAGATTCAACAGTATCACCCTTCGGCTCATCCACCTTGGGATCTGAATCATCTGAGTTGTTCGATCGGATCAACTCCGATGCCTCTGCATTGTTCAATTGTACATCTCCAGACTCGCTAGAAGTATCTCCCTCATTTGCCTTGGGATCTGCATCACTAGCCTCGTTGGATTTCGTCAATTTGTCGTCAGGTTTTGAAGCGTCTGCATCGTTTGACTGTACATCTCCGGATTGGGTAGCAAATTCCTTGGATTCCTCGTGTTTCGGATCTCCAGCACCGTCTGCTGGTGCTTCACCCGACAGGATCGCGGTGTCTCCTGGGTCAGTCACGGTGGCCGGAGCTTCTACTTCTTTTTGCAATTCCGTTTGGTCGACGATTGAGGACATGGTGATAAACAGCGGAGGAGTTAACAATGGCGAAAATCTGTTTTAATGTGAATCTCCGAGCTAATGACGAAGTACATGTGACAAAATTAGTTTTGATGCAAATTACAAGGACCAGTAAAGCATAAAACAGAAAATGCTTGGGCTAAAGCAGCAAAGCTATAACTTTTGAGGGTTACGACAAATTTACTGAACTTTGATGGAAGGGAAATAATATTATGGATTATATGGAGTAGTTCGCAAAATGAACTTTTTAGGTATACTATAACAAAATTCATTTCCACCCATAACTTCTTGTAAATGTCAATTGTGTCATTTTGGTTTCGATTTTTTTTTTTTTTGGGTTAATAAAAGCAAGTATTAATAGTATCATAGACAAATCAAATATTTACACTTAGTAAGTATCTGATCATGCGATATCATATCACGATATGGTATTGTTAGATGAAATCAGCTTTGTCATGCGATTTCATGCTGATTCCAACTCATGATTCCATATCACAAGATGTGATTTCATATCATGATTTGAGATATTTTAATACAAAAATTGATATACAAATTTATATTTTGTTAAAATAACCGCATGTTTATATCTACTAATCATTTATTTCATATGTAAATAAAATTTCTAATCACATCATTATTTTTAAAAATTTATTATTCACGCGACATAAAATTGATTATTCTCACTAACATATAGTCACTTTAATTCATATAACCCGATTGTTAAAGTGATGAAATATTTATGGTGTATAAACATGAAAATATAGTTGCGGATGATATTGACCAACAAATGACTCAAAGTAACAATGTTAGTTCGTCTTCTCTATCACATGATCGAGAAATGCAAATTCAACTTGAGGAACTTGTTCATACTATGTGGAAGGATTGTATTAAAAACTAGTACACTATAATTTATGTTCAATTTTTTTAATTAAAAATTATGCTAGATGAAACAATTACTTAAGTGAAAAACAAAAATACCTTTATAATAATTTTTTATGCGATTTTATAATTTTTTTTATTTGATAAGATTGAATAAACAATTGGGCTATTTTAATAATTTTAAACTCATGAAATTTTTATGTTTATGGGAAAATATACAACACAAAAATTTCATATCGCATGTCTATAAAACATAAATTTTATCTTATGATTTCATATCATGATATCATATCGGATGGCCAAATAAGCCCTTAAAAAGCGCTCTGACCATTCTTCTAGTACTGCATTTCTAACAAGATTTTATTGAGATAGATGCATCAAATCAAGAACTTGACATTAAAAATTTAAAATAATTAATATGATCGCGTTGAAATGAATGGATGAACCTAATAAAAATGTGAAATTAAGATTAGATATTAGGGACAATATGAAAGTGGTTATATATATATAAACTAAACGAAAAATAAGATTGAAATATTTCAATCATGTAAAAAGAAGAGACGTAAAAGGTTGATCATGAGTTTGAAGAGAAATAAATAGATAAAATATTATGAAGAATACAATTCTACATGAAATATATAGACATCGAGAATTAGTTAAATATTAAAGTAAGAAAAATAGTAGCAAATACTAGTATTATTATTCACATATTATCTACTTATTTTTGTTTTCTCTGTATTCGTTCTTGTTTTTTAGTCCTTATACTCCATGTTTATGTACTATTTGTTATAGTTGCACCAGACAGCACCACCAAACAATGGCTAGAGCCACTCCTATCTCCTCCTCCTTCCGCCATCTCAAAAACCTCTCTAATTCTTCCCCTCCCCTACACGTCACCTTCCGCCGTCCAAAAACTAGCTGCGCCACCACGATGTCGGACGACAAAGTTCCTCATCCATCACTGGAAGTCATAGCCGGAGCTGGAGACAAGTTTCTATCTGCTTTTAAATCCCTTCATAATCCATACAGTTCTTATCCCATCGTCGATGGGAATCTCCATATAGAAGCTATTTTTGCAGCTTTCTTTAGGTCAGTTCGTCTCCGGCGAGAGTGTTTGCGGACTAAGGATGATGGCTCCGTCGCTCTCGATTGGGTATCCGGCGACGATCGTAGCTTACCTTCCGACTCCCCGCTGCTCATTTTGCTTGTGGGTCTTCTTTCTATTGCTTCATTATTGATATAGACTAATAATTTTTGGCAATTTTCAGAATGGCATACACATTGGCTTTGAATTTTGGATTGTAAAAGTAAGGGTGTGTGTATAGAATGGAACTGTTCTGATGAGAGTAATTGCAACCAGGGCTGACTGGGGGAAGCAATGATTCGTACGTGAGGCATACGCTACTGAGAGCTAGAAGTACGGGTTGGAGAGTTGTGGTGCTCAATAGTAGAAAAGTGGAGATAGCCCCGTGACAACTCCCAGGTACTCTCATCTTGGTCTTTCATTACTTTGATTGATCGGAATGTTAGTAAAGATTTGATCTTTAATTTTCTCCCCACTGGTATTGCTTTGATGTGATTTTTGGTGGAGTTTAGCCAATGTTTGAATCTGTTAATCAGACTTTTTGGTTAAGAAGAGAAAATTGTTGGTATGGTTAGTTGGTGGGAATTGGCAGCCTTTTTGTGGACGGTTGATTGATATTGTGCTGTCCATTGACTCCATTCTTTTGGAAGTTTTGTTCAACTAGTTAGGTGAACAACACTATCAACTACATCCCTTCTGCACAACTGCCAGTCAACAACCTTGCTCTGTCCTCTCTTTCTCCTTTCTGCTTTCTGTATATTTAAGCATCACACAATAACCTGAATTACTGCACCTTGCAATACAGAACTTTTTCGATCTTATACCACCGCAAAATGGCCAGCGATAAAACAGCATGCCAAGATGAGCGTGCAGGAGCGGAAATTGTATATGGAGCTGAAGAGTGCTATAGTCATTCTCTTGAGCTGCTGAAAGAGTTGGGATTTCCCATGGGTGTTCTCGCTCTTAAAGACCTTGAAGAATGTGGCTGTGTTCGCGACACTGGATTTGTGTGGATGAAACAAAAGGCTCCATATGAGCATTACTTTGTCGCAACAAAAACTCTAGTTAGCTATGCCACAGAGGTCACTGCCTACGTGGAGAAAGGAAGAATGAAGAAAATGACTGGAGTTAAGAGTAAGCAGCTATTTATGTGGGTGCCAATAGTTGAAATGAGCATTGAGGATCCTGCTCAGAACAAAATTTACTTCAAGACTCCTATAGGAATTGGAAAGTCTTTCCCCCTCACTGCTTTCATGACTGATGAAGAAAAGGAGAAGTATCTGGAGAAAGCTAACTAGTAGAACAATTATCTATATGCTTGCCCATTTTGCTTCCTTGTTTTTTCAGCTCAGTATATTTTCTGTATTTTTTTTTCTGGCATCAGTCCATTGATGGACTTTTATTTTAAATCTCATTTTCATATGATTGCTAAAAGAATTATCTTTATGAACCAAGTATAAGTTTCTGCTTCCATTGCATCAATTAGTAGATAAAAGCTCTTTAAAGTTGATTATATCTATTGTTTATGCAAATATTCACTTGGACTTTTGTTTCGGGAGGGCTCAAAAGTTTATCTTCACAAAATGTTGGTTCCTTCCCTTGCTTGACATGATCCGGTCTCTTTCACTAGTGATTTCAAAAAGGATTTTAAACATAGTGAACGGAAATAAGTTAGAAAGGTTTCTCCAAGTCCACCCTATAGTTCAACTACGGAAGAATTTCCAATAGTAATCTCTAAAATTTTCGATTTCCACATCTTTTGTACTGGATACGTTTCTTCATCTATACATCTTCAAATTCACAATCTGGCTCATACCGGAGTTTCAGAGATAGCTTTATGTTTAAGCTGTCCCAGGCAAAGTAGGATATCAATGTGTATTTCCATTTTTTGCATAGAGAGGAGTTCTTTGTTACCCAATTCTTGATGTGTAACTGTAGACTTTCTAAAGTCTGAATATCGTTATAGCTTCTCATTGAACTTCTGAATTTTCTGATAATTAATTCCATTATTATAAGTATCATTTTAGCCCCATTTTCACCTATAAAACAAGATATTAACTCCATGATTTCCAAATTTGGTCAGCTTTATTCTCAAATGGTACTGGTCAAAGTTTCTAGATTTTTTAGCTTGTCAATTTGTTAGGAGAAAACATACGACTGGTCATGAATTGATATAATTAAGGTGAAACATATTATTTTAAGATACTCTTCCTCTTCAAAGTAATGTCGAACACAATCATTTTTGCCATGTAAAAGTCATCCATTCATTTTTTATTGATGAGCTAATTTATGCAGTTCTATTCAGTGTCATTTCTTCGTGATATGTATGAAGTGGTGGCACATGTCAGCAACCGCTATCCTGCGGCAAATTTATATGCAATAGGCTGGTCTCTTGGAGCAAATATTCTTGTTCGCTGCTTGGGACATGTAACTCAATCAATTCACTTTGTACTTATCAATGTTCCTCTTCCATTTGTCTTTGTACTGATCTACCTTGCATCTTCAGTACGAGCTGCTCTAAAGAATGTTTGGTATGAATGTGATGTTATGCTGAACTTTTTAGCATATTTAAATTTAGTACTGAAATACTGCAGAGTATTAGTAATCTGGCCAACATCATATAGTTTATTGAGAAAAACGTGAAAACTTTAGATATGGATGCTAGTGCCTAACATAATTACATCATATAGTATATTAAGGAAAAATGCTTAGTTGTGTCCCAGTCTTCTTTTTCTCAATTTTTCTTGTGCTTAGTATAGCTGAATGTTTGTCAATGGGATCGGGTTTCATGAGCTTCCGGATGATTAAACCATCTAGTAATGGTGTTCTATTTTTCTTATAAAGATATAAAGATAGTGTATATTAATGGCCAGCGTGCACGCATCTTAACTAATCCACTGGATGTTTTCTACCTTTAGCACAAGCTCAGGTAACGTTGTCCACCAAGGCTTAGGAAGATGGTAAGACTGAGATCACCTAATACTTTTTTGTCTTTGTAAGGACTTGAACCTTGGTCTCCAAGGTTTTCCACTTTATTAACTGTGCACCCCCCCCCCCCTTCTCCTCCCCTGTATTCCATGTTTCCATGGATATGGAATATGATCCTCTTAATGATTCTTCATCCTCTGAACACCCCAAAACCTTGTTTATTCTTAATGCGTCTTGAGTAATTCAATTGGTTCAAATGATGTGAGATCGACCTTCTGAAAACCTCATCTCTGTCGCTATGTTATTATTATTCCGTTATAGCCTAATTTAAGTCTACATAACATCTCGATAAACACTCATTGAACTGGAAATTTTTTTTTTAATCATATTGAAAGTTATCTTTGGAGTCACTGTACAATCAATATCTACGGGGAGAGTCGGCAGTAAATCTTGAATGGACATGTGTTTGATATAATGTGAAGTTATGCCATTATCTGGTAGCTTGTTATATACTTGCGTAGGCAATTGAGCACTGCTGTCTCCATTCATTTGTCCTGGGTCAACATAGTGCTTTCTTTCTTCTGGATCAAAACAACTCTTGAAAAAGAATTGACTACAAGTTGATGTGTTTGTCTTCAACAAAATTGCCTATCAATTGCACTATTTGTTTTTTTAAAGACAATCTATAGACAAATGATGTAATAAAGTCGGAATGGATGGAGTACTTGAATTCTTAGAAACTACTTTCTAGTAATTTTTTTGTTTACTGATGCATCTACGGTCAATTTAATTAGACATAATAAAGGTGGGGGTGCTCGATGATTGGTCACAAGTATGTAGGCGTTCACTGGAGTTGTTATTTTGGTCTATGTTTACCTTTCAATCCATTGCTCTGAGTTCATAATTTCAATTTATGTACTTGCAGGAGTCATGTACTGCCCATCTCTCATATTTTATTGTTTCATTGCAGGAATCTCATTCTTGCCTTCTCTCAGGTGCTGTTTTCTTGAGCAATCCTTTCAATTTGATCATTGCAGATGAAGATTTCCATAAGGGCTTTAACAATGTTTATGATAAAGCATTAGCAAATTTTTTCCGCAAAATTTTCCTAAAGTAATTTCATAATTCAGCTTTCTTTTTTTTCTTGGTGTACATTTTTCCTCTTTTAAACTAGATCTCTTGTTTATAGGCATGCTCTACTGTTTGAAGATGTGCAAGGTGAATTTAATATATCATTAGCTGTCAATACCAAAACTGTTGATGATGAACTGAGATTCCATTACAAATGTATGTACACCTCTTCTTTGTATCCAAGTAAGTCATTTCAGCCATTTACTCTCCATTGTTCTTTTTTGTTTGTTGTTATTTATCGTACTTCAGACTCCATTTATAGGTCTACAGTTCATGGTCAGGACAGTTAAAGTGCAATTCTTCTTGGACAAAATCTGAACATCATATCATTTAAGTTAAAATTCCATGCAATAAAGTTGAAACTTGAGAGAGTATATGTTTAACTTTGTGTTTCCTTTAGATAATACACATATGTAGTTAGTTATCTGTTGTAGGATTTTTTTTCCACATCACAGTTTTACCTTATGCAATTTGGTTAACTTACTATCAAATAGGCGTTTCACACTTTTCGTTTGAATACAAGAGTTACTTCACTTAATAAAATGCGAAGGATTTTTATGAAATGTAATTGTGACCAGATTCTAGGAAAAGCATTGCACCAATTACTTGTGCTCTGTATAAGATATATAGTGTAGAGAATCACATTTTTCCATATTTGACTCTCGGATCTTTATAGGAGACAGACAATTTATCTAGAATATTGCAATGACGTAGTCAAAAGTCTCATTGTGATGTAAAGAGAAATATTCCATCTCTTTGTGTCTCTCCTCAAAAAAAAAAGAAAGCAGGATAAGCAAAAGTGAGAAGGGAGAAAAAAGAGAGGGCTAAAAGAATATAGATCGAAGTAGTTCTGCAATCAACTTATCAGAAAGGTACTGTGCTTGTTGATACTATTATCATTCTCATAGCCCATTTTATGTTGTTGATATTTTCTCATTGTTTGTCGTGCAATTCTGCCAAAGTATTTTTCGCGCAGTTTCTTATTGTTTGTTCAAAGTATTTTCTTCAGTCTCCAGACTCGATTTATTCATTATAATTTATATGGATTAGTCAGGCGAAGCACTGGTAGTTTGTTATAGTCTCAGTCTGCTAGATAATCATATTCGAGTTAAATATTCAATTTTACTTTCTGAGAGCTTACAGCTCAAAGGAACAATTTCAAGGACTGGCAAGTGGCAACAAAGTTACTCAGTCTCATTTTTATCTATTGCATCTCAAAATTGGATGTTGCCATGTGTCTCAAGAGAAGAGCTAAAATAAATATGTTTGGTGGTATATGGGAAGGTCAGTTAGGATGGCTTTGTGACTTATTGGTTTTTCTTATGGAAAAGGATCAATTTGTTTATTAGGCCTAATTTAACTTGTGTGCTTCAAAAAGTATACAAGAGACTATTTTCACACATGATACATTAGTTTGAGAACAAAAGATGAAAGGTGGATAATTCATCTTTAAGTGTGCTTTAGAAGGACTACCTAATGACTGTGATCCTCTAAATTAATATGGAATTATGACCCCGTCTGGACAAATCAAATGAACCGTGGGTTCAGAACACATAAAGTTCAAATCCTGAATCTTGTTCAATTGCATGAGTGCATGCACAACTTATTAAATTTGCGCTTGAAGACATACATTGCAGCTAATCTTTGTATTGAAGACATACATTGCACCCGAGGACTGATCCACATGTGATGGGAGTATATATATAGAACATGATAAATCTTTTTTGGTACATTTATCATTGATATTAACGTTGGAGATTAATGGTGCAATCTATTCAACTATTATATTTATTAAAATAATATGATACCTTATGAAATAATATGCAACAACCATCCAAACCATGTGTAAAAATTTACTAAATACGATATTCTACATATGGTGATCTGTATATACATGCACAGTATTGGGTCATATGGGAGGTTTTTGGTTAAAACAGGTTGGGTTTTATCATTTCTATTTCAAAAAAAGGGTGGACAATAACCCTAAGTGGAGTTATCAACTAAATTTGTGCTTGCTTGTATTATACGACATTCTTTAAAGTGTAAAAACTGATTTAGTGGATAATACCAATTAGAGGTATATATATATATATATATATTTTTTTTTTTGAGGAAGAGATAAAGATGATGACAACAATTAATAATTATAGTTGTTGATCATTGTTGATATTGTTGTCATTAGATTTATCAAAGTGACTCACAATATGGACAAAAACCTTAGCACTTGCAAAATTCAGATTAACATGTGCCTTTTTATCTGCCTCAACTTCATCTTTTTTTGTACTAATACACATCCCATTTCTTTTGTCTTTTTTTTCTTTGTTCCAAGTTACGCGGATAACGTCTTCTTCCTAAAAATTAGGTGAGTTTTTTTATTAATAAAATAATTCTTGGTGTTTGAGTCATGCATTTCGATTAATTCTACAAGATATTTATAACTGTTTCCTACAAATAAATATATTTCTAAAAATAACTCAAATAAATGAAAAGAAATTAATGAATACCATTTTGTATCTACTGAAATTTAATTGAAATCTTAAGGCTGGAATAGATAGGTAGTAGATGACTTGGCCATGATAAGGAAACGCACAATCCAATAGAGCTTATCCATGCATATGCTTATTTAATTTCTTTTCCATTTTTTTTCTCTACTACAGACTTTTTGAATATTTCCATATTTCTCACTTCTTCTTCACCATAGTAGAGGGACCATGAATATATACTCAGCTTATTTACTTGTTTATTCTTTTGATCTTTGGTGAAAACGATAAAAAGTATATTATTGATGTATATATAAATATATGAGATTATAAAAAATAAAAAAGTTACGCTTTAATTTTAAACCAGTTAAAAATTAAAATCATCTACATGAATATTTTTAATTTTATTGAAAATTTTATTGAAGTTCATTTCACGTTAAAATTAAAATTCAAAAAGAAACATATACTAATCACACTAGAAACAAAATTTCACATGTCAAACGAGATTTCGTAAATCATCAAAAAAAAAATTGTACAACAAGTGGAATTTGTTTCCTTGAATGTATCAATATTACTTAATATATATATATATATATTAAGAACAACGACGTGCCATTTGCTTTTCAAATAATGTTTTCTCGTCTTTATTGAATCAATTAGTATTAGAAGAAATTCCAAGAAAATAAACTACATACTACTCATCATAAGAAAATTTTAATGATGAACAACTCTTTTTACTTCCTCCTAAAACTGGTATACAACCTTTTTTTTTCCTTTTCTATATACAAGTCAATTTAACAATAATTTGTTAGAGATACATTGTCGGTATCACAAAATTATATTTTGTGGACCTTTCTAGATAAAGAGTTTTCGTTTGCAGTTTAATATTCTGATTTTTATCATTAATTATATATGTGGAAACTGTCCTTCCTTGTCCGTAGACGTAGACATGCATATATAATTATTCACATAAATTTCTGGACAATATTTAAAGTGTATAATCTCAAATTTTTATTTATCTATGACTTTAAGTTATATACGGAATATTTTAATTAGTGTAATTTTATATTGTGTTTTTCATGCATTTCAAAAAATGTGTCGTGCGTTATTATATTTTTTTCTTTCACGTTATTAACACACAATTTTCTTATGGTTCATTGTATGAAGGAAAATTGTATGTTTGATAAATGATAACGTAACTCTATTAAGATATGGTTATTGGGCTAACTTAACCTCAAAAGCTAACTCTTGAGAGGAGGTTTGTCCAATTCTCATTCCTAGTGGAACATCTTAACATTCACTGTACCATAATTTTTTAACAAATTAATCAGAATTACTGTGAAGCTGGTAGCTTTTAATATAGCAAGCTGTTACATCAAAATGGTTGAACCAATAATAATTTCTTCATCCCAGAGTGAAATTCAACTTACCTTTCCTTTTTAAAATCTAACTGGGAAATAAATATATAAACCTTAGAAATTGAATATACTCCAAGGCATTTCAACCAAAATAAAAAGAGGGACTGAATTAATATATTTTTTTAAGTTAGAGTAATATTAACAGTTAATCTCATTGAAATGTCAAACCTTGAAATTTTCTTCTCTGTGTTGCTTGCACTCAAAGAAAAATGCTACAACCATATATTATTTATATTAATGGAAGAATACCATTCACATGGTCGAGGGGTGTTTAAAGCTAAAAAACGTGATTAGCATGTTAATATGTGTATTATTAATGCTAAATTTAGTTAATGGAAAAATATCATCAATGGTCGGGGGGAGTTGGAGTATTTTTGACAATTAATCTCATTTTATTGATCATAAATGACACCTCTCTGTGTTGCTTGCACAATTGCACCAAAAGAAAAATGCTGCAACCCAATAAGTATTATTTAATGAATAAAAGAATATCATCCACATGGTTGTGGAGTGTTTTAATAGCTAAAAACGTAATTAGCATGTTAATATATGTATTATTGCTAAATTTAGTTAATGATGGGTGTCTTAATTAGTAGTTAAAAAATCATAAACAGCACGTTAATATTTATGGCTAAATACTATAGATATAATTCATCATTTCCACTAATTCATCTTAAGCCGATAAGATTAAATATAGTCTATCATAAATTTATAATTTTAAAAATATAAAAAAATTCAATAATGAAAATTATAAAGTTAAAATTACGAATCCATATCACACTTTCTAGGAGTGCTAATTTGCCGGTGACTAGTACTCCCTTCGTTCGGAAATATTTTGTTATGTTGCGTTTATCAAAAGTTAATTTGATTAATTTTTAAAGGTAAATTATATCACACTAATTTGATATTTTAAATAAAAAAATAAATATTTTAAAACGATATGAAAAGTATTATAAATTATAATTTTGACATATTAATATGATGAAAAAATATATCTTAACATATTAGTCAAAATTTTTATAATTTAATTTTAAATATAAAAATCATGACAAATAACATCGGAATAGGAAGGAGGGCATGAAATTCCTCAAGATTTTCAACAGTATTTGATTTTAGCATGGAATATATGTTTCCAAGGTCTTGCAGGCAGTAATTATGATTCTCTTCTAGGGATATGTTTTCTGTTTTCAACGCTGCCCGTAAAAACTAATCTTCCCCCAGGTCGTGGTAGGATTTATTTTATTTAATAAATGTAAAGTAGAATAAAAATAAAAGTTGGGTTATAATCAAGATGACCGTACTTGAAGTTCAATGGTTTTATACCAATATGTTACGGTCCACTAAAACAATAGTTGAAATATATACAATTTTTTTGCATATAAAAAATAATATTGAAAAAACATAAATATATAACATATAAATTAGTATATAAATATTTAAGGTCCCCGCATGAAATGAGAATCGATTTGCATTGCTCCATTTGTTAGAACGAAAAAGAAAGAAGCAAAACATGTACCTTCATGTTTATTATCTTGTTTTCATATATAAAGTGGACAGATCATGAAATAGACTTTGTAGTCTTGTAAAGTAACTCTCATGAATCATGTTTATGGGCCTGTTTGGATGGGCGCTTTAAAAAAATATTTTTGAAAGTGCTGAAATTTATTTTTAAAATAAGCAGTTATGCGTTTGGATAAAAGTGCTGAAGTTGTTATGCCAAACGTGAAAAGGGAAAAATAGAAGAAAGAAATGTTAGGGTTATATGGGTAATTTGGAGATTGTATAAAAATATTAAGGAAAAAAACATAAAAATGTGGTCAGCTTATAAGCTAAAAAAAAAACACCCCTACCCCAGCTTTTAATTTTTGGCTTAAAATAAGTTTTTTGTAACTTAAAATAAGCTATTTTAAGTATTGTCAAACAGTTAAATAAGTCAAAAACCAGCTTTTAAATTGCGCCAAACAGCTATATATATCCCTATAAAAGGACCACAAAAGCTTTAGCTTTACTTGTCTTGAGTAATTGTTTCTGCATCTTATTTTTTGTACATGTAATAAAGAGTAGGCAGTTTAACTTGTTGATTAATTTTATTAATATTGGTGTTGCATATTTTACTTGAGTCGAAGTTTATTAAAACTCACACAATTATATTTTATTATTGACATTTTTATGTCATATACATAGATAATTAACAAGAAAATCTCTTTCTTTAAATTACTACTCATATACTTAGGAGTATACATTTTCAAAGATTTCTTTATTCAAGTTATGTATGTATCATAGACACAAGTATTCTACAACAAGTGCAATTTCTTTGGGCTAATATATACAGTAGCATTCTCCAATTAATTGACACATGTGTATATATTATGATATAAGATGAAATAAATTAAAATAGCGTTGTTATTATTATTATTATTGAGTTTTAAAATAGCTTATTATTGTGGTGAGAGGGTATACTCAATTGGTTGAGGCCCTCCATCTTTCATAGTGTAATTTTGGGTATATATATATATTACCTTTTGTGTACTTTTCCGATATCATTTCCCAAATACGTACTTTATCCAATATAGTCGGAAGGGCGGGTACATTCGTTCTACCGATTCAATTTTGCTACTCACTACTCTATAATATATAAACTAAGTCAATCCCTTTGTCCTAAAATATGTAATATATTATTTTTAATAAGAAGAATTATAATTGATAAGTATTTTCTATATAATTTTGAATATTAAATTAATTTCATCTAAAAATTGATTTCCAAAAAAATAAAATAAACATATAGTTTTTATACATTTTGATTTGATACACCCGTTAATTATATGATAAATAAAATTATAATTTTACTATATCCCTCTTAATGTAATAATTTTCTTTCGGCTTTGCGATAATAAGTTATTTATATGTAATTGGAAATAA